TACTATACCAATAAACTCCTGAACAAACCTCTGGAAACAAAAATTCTCAGAAATGACTAAAAATACACTTCACAACATTTTGTCTCACTAAATTAGCATTTATCACTTTCAGTTGACAGAAACATTGTATTTGTAACTAGAAACAGTATTTGATTGTGTTTCCTTTTTTAAACTGATGAAAATGGAGGCAAACAGGAAAGTTACAACTTTGTTTTTACAGAACCAACGATAACAGTTACGTCCAATCCCTAAAACTAAACTAACGTGACGACTCACCACATTCACATCTGTCTGTCCACAGCCATCGGCTTTAACGTGGAGACGGTCACATACAAGAACCTCAAGTTCCAAGTGTGGGATCTCGGCGGACAGACCAGCATCAGGTAAGAGCATCAGGAACAGCATCAGGCTGTTGATTGGCCAACGACTTTGTGGAAGAAAGGTCAGTCTCACTGTTGACGCTGTACTTCCACATTCCCTCTGATCCACAGGCCCTACTGGAGATGTTACTACTCCAACACTGATGCAGTCATCTACGTGGTGGACAGCAGTGACCGCGACAGGATGGGCATCTCCAAGTCTGAACTGGTGGCCATGCTAGAGGTAAGATCTTCACAGAAAACCCAGTGTCTACAAAACAAAACAAAAACAAAGTGATGAGTTCTACTACCCAGATGATACATCATAGTATTCAAGATAAAAAAAAAACTTTATTGTCGTAGTACTGGTACCTGACGTACACCTGTGTCCTTTGTCTCAGGAGGAGGAGCTGAAAAAGGCCATTCTGGTGGTCTTCGCAAACAAACAAGACATGGACCAGGCGATGACACCGACCGAGGTGGCGAACGCCCTGGGCCTCCCCGCCCTGAAAGACAGGAAGTGGCAGATCTTCAAGACCTCAGCCCTGAAGGGCGTCGGCCTGGAAGACGCAATGGAATGGTAGGTTCTACTCACGGCTGCGGTCCAGTCAAAGGTCACGAGGTCGACGTGTTGTGACTCCGTGGCTGAGCCGACTCTCCCGCTCACTCTGTCTCCCTCTGCAGGTTGGTGGACGCACTGAAGAGTCGGCAGTAGATCTCCTGCACATGCCCCTGACCTCCCTCCTCCCTCCTCCTCCCCCTGTATCCCACTGACCTTCGGACCATTGATTGCACTCCTGCCTCCCCCCTTTAACCCACATGAAGCCTTTGGCCAAGTCTCCCAATGCGTCCCCCTGAAGTGGGAAGCAGTAACGTCTGGACCGAGCACGTGCACCGACACCCCCCCACTCACACCCACCCACCGTTGGTCCAAGTGGAGACGTTCAAGGAGCTTCAAGGACTGTGGTTATGACTCTCCTGATGATGGTTAGAGTCTGGTCTTCTTCACCAGGGCCACGGGTTGGGAACCAGGTGTTACTGCAGTCTGGGCTGTTGTTGTGCTAAAGTCAGGCCGATGCATTGACCAGGAATTTTACATTTTGTTTAGTTTTTTTTTTTTTTCTTTCCTTCTCCTTGATTATTTCCGGTGTTTCCTGTTTTTTAAAAATGTCGTGGTTGAAGCCTTTTTTTCCATTGAATCTATTGAATTGATTGCAGCTTTGGCAAAGAGTTAGTCACTGAGTTACTCAACACTAATTGTACGCCCAAAGATTTATGGTGTCATATTTATATCTGCTTGTACAGTGGAAATGGTTCACAGTAAAGATTGATGCGTGATTGTTCAAACGCTGTGTCTGTTCTCTGTCCACCAGGTGTCAGCAGTGACATCAGAGGACGACTGGACGGGTCTGGACTGATGAGGACCTCTGACCTCTTCATCTGCAGAGACTTCTTCAGCTCTGACCGACTGTGGGGAAAAGTCAGGTATGGAACTTTGGAGTGACTGTTGGAGACCAATGGGACGTTTGTATCACGTTGGTGCCCCCTGGTGTCTGTCTGTGATGTCGCTGATAAAGAGTTGAGTTTGGAGGAGACGTGGATTCAGACACCATGTCTCTCCCCCAAACTGAACTCCTCATCAGCAACATCACAGACAGGTCGGGCCCCCAAGTGATAAACCTGGACCCCTAACCCTCCTCTCCCCTCCCTCACCCCTCTGTATCCCCCCCCCTCTGGTCCCATTGGTCTCTAAGTCACTCCAAGGTTCCATACCTGACTTTTCTCTGCAGATGAAGAGGTCAGAGGTCATCATCAGTCCAGTCCGGTCCAGTCGTCCTGTGATGTCACTGCTCTCTGTTTCAATCCACTCCTAAAACAAACCAACAAAAACCACAAGTCCTTTGACGTTGTAAATAATTTTTAATTAGAAAAAGTCATCAAACAGCATCTGTGAAAACACCAAAGTCTTATCTGTTCCCGGGGTCACATGACCAGCGGCGTCACTGCACCATGGCCAGGTCTTTGAGGGCGTGGCTGCGGTGCTTCTTAGCCTTGTAGCCCGGCCGCAGGAACTCGATCTTCCTCTTCTTGGCTTCTATTTTGTTCTTGTGTTTCTTGAGTTTCTTCTTGGCGGCGACCTCCGGGTTGGCGACGGCCTGCGTGGACACAGAGAGAAGGAGAGCGAGGTGAGGTGGACTTCAGGGCCACGCCCACTTTCAGCGTTCGCGTTCACCGCGTCTCACCTGCACGGCCCTGTGGCGTTTACGCGCTGCTCGCCGCTTGGAGAACTCCTTCTGAACGGCAGAGAAGGCGAGAGAGAACGTCTCCAGTCCGACCTGCTTCTTCAGCAGCTCGATGAGCTCCTGAGCCAGGTTCTTCAGGGTGGGGTCTGCAGGGGGAGCGAGTGGAAACGAGCAGGAAAGAAGTAGGAAATAAAACTGATAGAGGGAGAGTGAGGGAGGAGGAGAGAGGGTGAGGGAGGAGAGAGAGGGTGAGGGAGGAGGAGAGAGAGGGTGAGGGAGGAGGAGAGAGGGTGAGGGAGGAGGAGAGAGGGTGAGGGAGGAGAGAGGGGAGGGAGGAGAGAGAAGGGAGGGAGGAGAGAGAGGGGGAGAAAGAGAAGGGGGAGGAGAGAAAGGAGAGAGGGGGAGAGGGAAGAGAGTGAGGGAGGAAGAAAGAGAAGGGGGAGAGGAAAGAAAGGAGAGATGGGGAGGAGAGAAAGGAAGAAAGAGGGTGAGGAAGAAAGAGAGGGGAGAGGAGAGAAAGGTGAGAGGGTATAAAGGAGACAGGAGGGAATAGGGTGAGGGAGGAAACAGAGAGAGGAAAGAAAGGAGAGATGGGGAGGAGAGAAAGGAGGAAAGGGTGAGAAAGGAGGAAAGAGGGTGAGGAAGAAACGGGGGAGAGGAGAGAAAGGTGAGAGGGTATAAAGGAGACAGGAGGGAATAGGGTGAGGGAGGAAACAGAGAGAGGAAAGAAAGGAGGGAAGAGGATGAGGGGGATCAAGTGGGAGAGAGGGGGGAAGAAAGAGAGAGGGGGAGAGAGGAGGGAGGTAAAGAGGGGAGGAAAAGAGAGAGACATTGTGTTTTTAACTCCCAGTCTCTTCAGTGTCGACCACAGTTTTTCCCATCAGCCCATCAGCAGCTTCTACCTTGGTCAGCGTACGTGCTGTCCAGCTCCCTGTAGAGGGGGGCGATGATGGTGGTCAGGTACGGACCCAGTCTCTCTGCCCCCAGGTCCATGGCTGTGGCTCCCAGGAACTTGAAGACACACGTTCTCTGGGAGGAGGAAGAGAAACAAAGACATGAAAATCAACTCCTCACCACGGCTCCAGCACTGCAGCGTCAACAATGCCATCTGCTGGTGGCAGTGTTGAAGTGAACGTCAGTTCATCTTTTTAGTTTTCTTTTCATAAACAATGTGTATTTTCCCGGAGTTTTTCTGCAGATTCTTCATCTGAAACTGAACCTTTAATTAACATTAAAACTTTTAAAAGATTTTACTTTTGCTTCGTTTAATTTTTTCTTTTTTTGTTTTACTGAAAGCTTCTAATAACGGTACTGAAAAGAAATTATAGACTCAACATTTTTTGTTGCTGTCGTTGTTGTCCAGGGACAGAACATTGACTTTCTGTTATTGAAAATTTAATGAGAAATAAAAACATTTTACATGTGCCCAACACCTGGTTCATGGGCTACTTGGTACCGAAAATATATACGAAAAAATATCAATTTATTTCACTGCTTATTTCTACTTAATTTCTTCATTATTAATTAATTTGGTAATTTTTAAAAATAATGTCGTTCATACTGCAAAACTAATAAACTTTAGTCTAAAAGAATTCTTTTGAAAATTTGCCAATCTTTAAAGGACTGGTACCAGACCAGTACTTGGTACAAAACTAGGAATTTGACATCCTGTCCCTGTGGAGCCGAGTGTGACTTTTCAGAGAACAGGGACTGTAACGCTCCGTTTCCATGGTTACCTTCAGAGGAACTTTAGGAGAGTGGGCTGCTTCTCTCTTGGCCATCAGAGAAAGTTTCCTCATCAACCAGAGCAGTGACGGAGGTCGGTTGTCTTCCTTCTCCTCCTTCTCCTCCTCCTCCTCCTCCTCCTGTTCGTCCTTTCCGTTCTCCTCTGGCTCCTCCACTAGGGGGTTTAGCAAAAACATCAATAATTGCCATCAATTCCCAGTCCAATATTCCTGGTGTTGGTTCATGTTCTTTTTCTTTTCTTTCTTCTCTAGTGATTCCAAATGTAGATCCCTCTGTTCCAGAGTTAGGAACTGATGTTCAGATGGAACAGAGTCTCAGACTAGGATCACACTGGGACTACAGATGTTAAAAAAAAACTCAATATATCACAGTATATCACATTGTGACACGTGTGGTATCTGCAGATTCTTCCCCTACCTTTCCCTTCTTCTTCTTCTTCTTCTTCTTCTTCTTGTTCAGCTGTGACCTCAGACTCGGGGGACAGCAGGTAGATGACTTTGCCAACGAACAGCAGGTTCTTGATCACCTGACGACAGAGGACACAAGTTCTCAGGTCAAAAACTGAGCTGCAGAAAGTTGATGAAAATAAATCACTAAAGTGGAGACGACGTGCGGACACCTGCTCTCCTGAGGCCGTGTCCAGGAACTTGGACTGCAGCTGATGGCAGAGCGTCAACGCCAACTGTCTCATCTAGAGGACGGAGGAAGAAGCCGTTAAGACGGAGAGACAGAGATGAAACAAACCGGCGTGGTCTTCAGACCGACCTTCTTGTCCAGGTTGGTGGTGATGAAGACGGTGGCCACGGACGGAGGAGAAACATCTGCAGCCTCTCCTCTCCACCTGCTGACCAGCTGCTCCGCCTGCTGCGCCGCGAACAGCTGACCAAAGAGCTGCGAGGCGGTCAGCCACACCCAGCAGTGAGGGTAGCTCAGGTGGGCTTCGATGTGACCTGAGGGCAGAAAAGGTCAGAAAGGTCAGAAAGTGAAGTCGGTGGCGGTAACCGAGCGAGCAGTTCTGGGCGAGTTCTTTACCCCAGATGCTGAGGAGCGTGTCCCGGGGTTTCTGGAGCTCCAGCAGACCACAGTGCTGGACCAGCTTGGTGACCAGGGTCAGGTGACTGAACAACAGCCTATCAGCTCCTTTCTCCTCCTGCTCCTCTTCGATCTGTGAGACAAACAGCAGAGTGAGGACGCCGCCTTCTCCCTGACGTAACAGACACCTCAGTGACGAGAGAGGGAGGGAGGGAGGACAACCACTCACGTCTTCATAATTGTCTGGGTGGATCTCCCTCTCCAGCAGGGGGAGCAGTGTGTCCAGCCTCTGGACGAACTTCTCCTGCTCCACTTCCACAAACAGGCCACAGATCAAGGCTCCGAGACGCCGCAGGTTGGACTAACAAAGACAAATGTTTAAACCAGGGATTCCAAACTCGTGGCCCGGGGGCCATTTCCGACCCGTGACTAAATGCCAATGATTTTTCCAAAAATGTTTTAGTTGATGATGACATAATAAAGAGCACGTTGTTATTTTGTCGAACCTTTTCTGAGTTGAGCCACGTGTTGACCAGCGAGAACAGGATGTTCTGGTGGTTCAGGTCCAGCTTGGCGAGCAGAGCCTTGATGGCCAAGGCGGCCATTTTTTTACAGCGAGCCGAGTCGTCGTTGACCACGGACAGGGCGAGCGGGGCGAAGAACAGGCCGCTGTGTTGTAGCAGCAGATTCTAGAGGGCGAAGAAACAAAGTCAGCACTTTCTCATCCACGTTACGGTCCGCAGCGGTCGGAGAACCACACCAACCTGAGGGAACGTCTGGAAGATGTACGCCAACATCTCCAGCACCGACTCTCTGCCCGTGTCGTGCTCGTACTGCAGCTGGGCCACCACGAAGTCCAGGTGTCCTCTCAGCTTCTTCCCCAGTGGGTAGTCCAGCAGGTACTTCAGGAATATCTGCAGAACCACAACACGAGCCACGGCACACATTTAACATTTATATGTTATGAAATATAATAATCTTCTAGTTTCCTGTGCCTGTTTAGTTGAACACAAAGCTGAGATACTTTGTAGGAATTGAAGAAAGACACACATGAAGATATTTAACTGATTTTGTTTTTTTACACAACTCTGCCGCCATCTAGTGGAAGAGTATTTAATTTCTCTGCCTGTCACTAACCCATAAACTAACAAGGACAAATTATTTGCAGTAAATAATTCAAAGTTCTCAGATCTTCACCGTGCGTCCGTACCTGTCGACAGTGGATTCTGATCATGGAGTTGCTACCAGTGATGGAGAGTTTGGACACTTTCTTCATCAGTTCCTCCATCTCTGGAACCACCAGTTTCCTGGACAGAATCACCTAAAAGAAACATTTTTTTTATAAACACGGGAGGAATGTTATATTTTTTTTTTGTTTTATTAAAGAGGGAAAAAAAAGCGCCACCTTCAGCAGACCAAAGGCAGTGGCCTGACGTGATTGGTCATAAATGTCCTCCTCGGCGTATCCCAGCAGCACCCGCAGCCGAACCTCAGTGATGTTGCTGTTCTTGAAGTTCTTCACCAGCGTGGTGATGGCCTGAGGGACCGACAGAGACCAGGTGAAGCTACAGACTCTGAATCGACTCCTGAATCTATGACGACTTTTTTTTTTAACGTTCTACCTTGAAGCAGCTCTGGACCAGGTGGTAGTTCTCCCCTCGAGCCGCTCCAGCCTTGGAGAAGTCCTTCAACAGGACGAAGAGCTTCTTGGTCAGCTGCTCCGAGTTCTTCTCCACCGCCGGCAGCGGGAACTTGAGCAGGAAGGTGAAGCAGACCAGGGCCTCAGTGATCACCTGAGGGCGAGGAGAAGGTCGGAGAACCGATTCCAGGAGATCAGAGAAAAAAAAACTACAAGAAATACTGCGAGGTATCGGCAGGTACCTGGCGATATGATACTATCACAATATTTTGGATAATTTCCAATTCCAATGTCACCTGACATTGATATAGGCCTGGTAATATATTTGGAAATATTTTTCATTTTTCTATCTGTACAAACCACCCTGTATGAGAATGAGATTTATTAAAGCAAACCACTGTATGAGAATGAGATTTATTAAAAAAGTTGCAATACTGCCATCTAGTGATTTTCACTTTAATATACAGCAGTTTATCCCCAAAACTGATCGTTATCGGAGGACAAACCGATAACGATTCTTACAGATATTATCGACATTGTTACCTTAACGTGCATGGAGTCCAGACAGTCCAGCATCAGCTGTATGAAGGGGTCCAGCATCTCCAGAGCTGAAGCCTCAGACGAGGTGACCTTAGACTTCTTCAGACTCAGGTGGAGCAGCTGTGGAACAGACGACACTGGTGACCCCTGACAGACCCCTGACAGACCCCTGACAGACCCCTGAGCGTGTCATTGGACGAGGGTGCGTACCTTCAGTCCAGTGTCCACCAGGATGTGCATGTTGGTTCGGCTGCTGACCCGAGCCTTCTGTTCACCTCTCTTTGGGGTTGGGGGCAGGAGGAGGCAGCTGGGCGGGGGCAGCCTGGGGTCAGGGGGGGCCTGGGCAGCAGACTTCTGTCTACAAACACACAGAAGGTCGGAGGTTCTCAGAAGAAATAAATGATTTTAAAAACACTTCAATGCTTTGTCTTCTATTTTTCCTGGGTGTACCGGTCTTTCTTGGTGACCAGCGGCAGACTCTGGCTGACCAGACTGTGGCTCAACAGGAGGATGTCCTGAGCGGTCATGCCCTCATTTGCGAGTAGACCCAGGACTAGCCGCCGCAGCACAGCGCTGACCCGGTTACACACTTTCAGACTGGACGTGGTCTCCAGAATCTGTTGGAGAGAATGAGGAGTATAATGAATAAAAAGAAGAAAAATTATCATGCTAATATCGGGCCGATAATATTGGTCGGCTGATATTAGCATAATTATGTCACATTGGCAAAAATTGTTATCGGTTTTTCCTCCGATAATGAAAACCCCAATAACGCAATGCCCAACCTTCGCCAAATGACGTGTGCCCAAAAAAGTAGTTTTGGGGGGAAAAACAGATGCATGTGAAAGTGAAAGCCACTAGATGGCAGCATTGCAGCTCATCTATATGAAATCATCAGGAGCTTGTATGCAAAATGTTGGTGCCAGCAACTCTTGGGGTGGGGTGTAAAAAAACTTCTGGCCCATAGGGGGCACATGGCAGAAAATAGTAAGAAACACTGCTTTAACCGATCACCTTAGTGAGCACGCAACTTTCTTAACCACCAGGCTACTACTGCCCTGATATATCGGTATCAGGTGATATCGGAATTGAATCGTTTGGACAATACCGGCCTATCGGATATCGGACGTCCATATTCCCAACTCCCTCACCTCCTTCAGGGGCAACATGAGCTTGGTGATGCTGTCTCTGCTGCAGAACTTGGCCAGCAGCTCGTACGAGTCCATGCTCTTGCTGTGTCGAGCCTCCATCAGCTTGGAGACGATTCCTTTCACTTCCTTTTCCTCGGCCACGGCGCCGAACAGCTCGTTGTTGAAGATCTGAGCAAAATTCAACAAAAAAGAAACAAAACAGATACAGAAATGAACGATAACGATGACGACGACAGGAGCAGAGAAGGAAGAGTTTGTTTTGGTTAATGAGAAGTTCTTACACTGATGAGCATGTTCATACATGGATCCAGATCACCGGGCTTCAGAGTGGGACTGAGCACAGACAGGAGGTTGTAGACGGTGAATGTTAGCACGTGGACCTGGAGGACGGAGAGAAGAAAAAACATTCAGAGCCTTATCGTAGAAACGGAAACCCATCGAGGAGAAGATTTTTGATTAAACCTGTGTTTGTGTTTAGTTAATGTTTGTGTTTGTGTGTGTGTTGTCTAGGTGTAGCTATACTTGTCGGGAAATTTTTTTTGTTCTCACCTAAGAGAATATAACGACTAGGTTAGGATTAGGCAAACATTCGTAATGGAAACAGAAGCCTGTTTAGTTGAACACAACACTGATAGACTTTGTAGGAATTGATGAAAGACACAGTGGAGATCTTCTTCACCAGTTCTGAGCATTTCTTTTTTTTAAATAGCATATGCTGCCACCTAGTGGAAGAATATGTAATTGCTCTGCCTGTCGCAAAGTCTGATCTACAAAAGGGGGCGCTGCAGAAAAAAAGATTTTTTTGATCTATGAGGTGGTAATTATACACACATGAAGTCCTCACAACTCATCAGAACCAGACTGTGTGTGTGTGTGTGTGTGTGTGTGTGTGTTTTTCACCTGGTACCCCTTGACCAGGATTCCCTGCATCTCCTTCAGCAGGTACTGCAGGTACCGACATCCCAGAGTCTCCACGATTTTCACCAGCGTTCCTCTGGCCACATCTCTGACCTCCTGGAATCGGTTCCTCAGCAGCACACACACCTTGATGAGGATTCTGTTGACACACACACATACACACACAGCAAACCTTCATTAAAATAAAATCCCATTTTCTGAATCTTTTTTTGGAGGTTTTTTTGCCCCCTCGTACCCGGGCAGGTTGCCCTCCATGATGTGCGGGGGGAGCGTCTGCATCAGTTTGACCATAGCGAAGGCGATCGGTATCCTCACCACCTCCTCCTCTTTCACGGCCTTGGACTTGATGGACTTGTGCTCCTCGTCACGTGTCACCTGGTGAAACAGGAAGTCGTCAACATCGTCAACATCGTGCTCCGTGTCATGTACCGATCGTTAGCCTGACGCGGCTCGTACCTTGGCCGTGAGACACTTCTGCAGACGAGGCAGGACGCTGTCGTTGACCGTCTGGTGGATGGTTTTTATCAGATACTCCAGCTCCTCCTGACTCTGTGGCAGTCCGCTGACCCCTACAGACGGTTTCACAGGCGCCGCTTTTTTGTTCTTAGCGGCGGCGGCGTCCTCCGAGACGCCTTTGTGGTCCTCCACGTTGTCCACTTCCATGGACACAGTAGCCGCAGCCGCCTTGCCATCTATCTCCATCGGCTCCTCGTCATCGCTTGCATCTGATTCATCTGCTGCAGCGTCCTCTGCCCCCTGCTGGTCGACTTGAACTCTTGCCGCTTCTTAAGACAGCATTGAACAGAAGGTTAGAAATGTGAAATTCTACTGTTTTTATTCTATGTTTTCAAGTTAAAACTTTAGTTAGAAAAAATCTCCTGACGACCTACTGACCTTCTCTGGCCTTCGCCGCCTCAATTTCTCTGCTGAGTGTCTGGTGGTCAAAATGGAACGCCTCCAGAACCGTGACCAGCAAACTGCAGTTAGAGAGCAGAGTGAAGGTCAGAGAAACTGGAGCACAACTACAGGCATCAACGTTTAAAAAAAAAAAAAGAAAAAGTTCTCACGTGACGCCCAGTTTCTGCTCGGCCTGTGACGTCTGCAGGACGTGGACAAAGTGTTTGAGGTAGTACAGGTACTTGGACCAGGTCAGTTTGCGACACACGGCGCCCACCACCTCCACCGAGGCTGAGGTCATGTTCTCATGCTGCAACATCAACATCATCGTACTCTTAGTTTCAGCTTCAGCAGAATGTTTTTTTGTTTGTTTTAAGTCCATGTTTTTCTGATTCACCTTCAGCATCTTCTCATCGAACAGCGCCGTCATGGCGTACGGCATCACGTAGTTCTGCAGGGAGCGAGGGGAAATCATGACCTTGTCCTCCGTCAGCTGCTTGGCCAACCTCCTCAGTGCACGAGCACGACGGTGGATCTGTGGACAGAGGTGTGTCAGTGTCTGAGAGTCGATGCAGAGGAGGAGGAGAGAGACGGAGAGATTTTTATTTTTATTTTTTTTAAACCTGGATGTGCTTCATGTGCTCGAAGAAGTCCGACTCAGGGTCGTTGTAATCCGTGAGCTGCACCAGGTCTTTGAACTCCTTCCTGTTGGGGAACGTCTTCACCAGGCAGGCCAGCACGGTGGTGTACTCATGCTGCACTCTCTGGGGAAATAAAGAAACGATTGGACGAGATCACGTCAGCGTCTGATTGGCTGATATTATAGTCAGAGGTTTTCCATGTTCCGTACGTCGTTTTTACTACGCAGTCCTTTGAGCACGGCGTCCAGGACCGTGTGCTGGATGACGTCCCTGTAGATTTGTTCTCCAGCGTTGACTTCTGCCACCTGGGTGATGACCGCAGACAGACACAAGGTGGCGTTGTCTGCCAGCGACATGTCTCCAATCTGTGCCACGGTGAAAACACAGAGCGTCAGCTGAAGAGTTCTAAACTCCAGAGCGTTTACCGGCGTCACGGGTCACCTGACCTCGTAGGTGTGGAAACAGTTGTGTATGATGGTGCCGATGAAGTCCAGGTCCAGGGTCCGCATCTCCCTGACCTTCCTGGTGGCGTCTTGGAAGGCGGTGAGACGCACGTCGTAGTGAACTTCATCCAAGTGTCGACTGTCGAAGGCATTGAGCTGGAGATGAAAAAAAAAAAGAGAGCTGAGGTTGGTCGAACCAGGTGAACACCACCACAGGATGAACTTGATTTATATTCATGAAAGTGAAAGAATATGGTTGTTTTTAATGTAAATTTTAGAAAAAATTATATTTACTTTTTATCAGTTATTTCTTTTTTATTAATTACTAGACATTTCAGGCGACTCCATTTGAACTCCAGCTGACTGCACATAGGGTCACGAACCATAGGTTTAAACACACCTCTAATGTATTCAAAAGTGTTGTTTTATATTTTATGAAAAATTATTTTTCCAATTTATAATTTCTCTACACTAGTTATAGTAAGTTTTTAAATGCAGAAAAAAGAATCTCCAGAAAACAATATTCTTAAAAATTGAAAAAAAAAAATAGTAAAAACAATATTCTTAAAAATTGAAAAAATATAGTTTTTCAACCCTAAACATTTACCCACAATGCAGGAAGGAGCAGTAAGTAAATGAAATATTCAAGGATTATTATCCATGTTTTCCATGACTGATCTAATTGGTCATTAATTAAGTCACATGGTCTAACGACCAATGACCAACACGTTACCTTTGCTGCTAAATCTGTGATGTAGTTGAGCGACGGCTCCAGATCTGAGAGAGTCTGGAAAAAAAAAGACACACAACACAATATGAAAATACTTCAAACCACAAAGTACTACAGTACTAGTACTGTGTGAATTATCTGTCGTACCTGGAAGACGCTGGTGAGCGCCTGTCTCGGCAGCTTGTTGTGAATAACGGAGAAGAGTTTGCTGAGAGGCCGCAGGAAGGCGGAGGGTTGGACGCACTGCTGCAGCAGATTCTGTACGGTGGCCAGGATGTCCATCTCTGTCTCCTGGAGGGGGGAGGAGAGGGGGAGAGAGAGAAGGGGGAGAGAGGGTGAATAAAACAACAGGTGGAGTAAGGAGGGATGTTTAGATGAGGAGGATGAAGGAGCGTCTCACCGGAGCGTTGTGGCCTTTGTGGAGATACGGCAGCAGCAGCCTGATGAGCACCGAGCTCTGATCCCTGCTGCTGACGAACCGACTTATCCTGGAGGACAGGAAGTGACATCACATGTTAACAGAAGTCTGTGAGTCAGGTTTTGGGTGAGGTTGATGAGGCGACGATGTTTATCATTTCATCATCATCATAAAATGTATTGTTGTTGTAGTAATTTAAGGTCAATATACGACAACATAGACTGTATTACCTGCCACACAAAAATAACCTGGCGGGCTGCATTTGGACCCCAGGCCTTGAGTTTGACAAATGTGGCATAGACTTCATCAAAAGGCATCAAATTGCCCCACAAAATTACTTGAGCGGCCACATTCGGCCCACAACCCTTGAGTTTGACACCAGTGGCATTGACTTTATCATCAGGCATTAAATGCCTTTAAAGCTGCTGTCGGCCATTAAAAGTCATTTTACGGGCTACGTTTGGGCCCCCAGGCCTTATGTTTGACACGTGCACTACACGGTCGACTCACTTGGAGAGGATGTTGAGCTCTTTGGCCACGTGCGCTCGGAACTTCTTCTTCTTGAGTCTGTCGGTGCTGCAGACGGTGGTGCTGAAGTAGTTGAGCACCACAGAGATGTGAGGCAGCAGCAGTCTGAAGCCCTGGGATAAAGACTCTGCAGGAGACACAACACACTGCTCCACATGTCCGTCCACTGGGTTGATGACAGATAAGAGCAGAACGAGAATGGAAACACGATGCTAACCTGCTGTAACCAGAGCGCCCTCTGCAGGCTGCGGGAACACGCCGTTGTTAACGCTCAGCTCCGTCTCGGACTCCGAAGCCACAAAGTCTTCGGTCGTCGCCAGAGACTCGGCGACGTCCATGACCATGGCAACGGTCGCCGTGGAAGCGTTCTTTGCAAACAGGAGGGCGAAGACGTTCAGGAGGACGTCGCACTCCGGGTGGTCGGGTCTCTGCTTGGCCAGAAGAGGGAAGTACCTGAGACAGGAAGACAGAGAAGGGGAAAAATAAAAAAAACGACTTTCTTCACCTTGATATGTTGGTTAGTTTAATCAAATAATCTGGATTAACAGGACAGGTGATGACTCTGACCTGGAATGTTTGCACCACACGTGGATCAGTTTGAGCAGAGGAGTGGGAGAGTAAGGACTCTCTGTGGGCAGACGACACACCTGGGGAAAAAAAAAATGTTCAAAAGAAAACGATCGTCAACAATCGCTGACAATCGTCTCTACAGTGAACCAGTGAACCAAACTTAAAAACTAAGTCTGTGACACAGACCTGAGGCCAGACCACCGCCTGGAACACAGCGTCCAGCTCATCTGGGCTGAAGCTGTAGGAGTCGAAGCCTTCGAAGAAGTCGTAGATCCTCAAGACGCCGAGTCGCCTCAGGTTCTTCAGAGGACTGATGCAGCCGGGCCTCAGCTTCACACCAGAGACACGCCGACCATGAGACACCAAGGCAGAAGGACATACTTATTAACAAACGTATCAGGGGTGTCAAACATAAGGTCCATGGGCCAAAATTGGTCCGCTAGGGCAGTGTTTCCCAACCTTTTTTGAGCTGCGGCACACATATATCACCAGGAAAAACCCCACGGCACAACAAACAAACAAAAAAAAAATCTCACAAATACTATATGTAATGAAATATAGTTTAAAAGTACTAAAAATGAAATCCTGTTTAGTTAAAGACAACGTTGATATACTGGCAGGAATTGAAGAAAGACACTCACAAAGATCTTCTTTAACAACTCTGATTATCTTTTGTTAGGTTTAATACCCATCTGCTGCCACCTAGCGGAAGAGGATTTAATTGCTCTGGCTGTTGATAAAATATATATACAGTATATTTAGTTTTTAAGCCCAACTAAGTGACATTGGATAATTTTCCGTGGCACAGCTAATGATCTCTCACGGCACAGTGGTTGGGAATCGTGGCGCTGGGGTTTCAATCCAGCCCCACTTCATGTTCACGATGTTTTGTCAAAATTATATTTCATTAAACACGACCATGTTTTCGTGACGGGTCGACTCTGCTCGTACCTGCTCCCTGTTGTCCAGCAGCGTGGACACACTGGCAGTGACGCACAGCAGGATCCGCAGCACCCTGGGCAGGTAGATGTCAATGAGGTGGCCCAACTTCTGGAGCACCACGTTGATGATGTTCAACAGGCTGTGCTGACGGCCCAGCGGCAGAACGGCGCCCGGGTCTGTGTCCGCGACCGCTTTCTCCACCGACGCCAGACAGGACCCTGAAGACGGGGGGCAAAAAATGTAAACATTTAAAAACAATTAAAGAAAATAAAAAGCGTCAGACTGAATGTCCTGTGTTTTCTCTTTAAGTAGGTTCTGCAGTAGGTTCTTTTTTTTTTCTACCTTGGCAGTAATGAGACACCGGCTCCAGCAGGAGGCTGATGAACATCTCCAGCTCCTCCGTTTGGCAACCGGCCAGAAAACGCAGAATGATGGAGGAGCGGGTGGCTGCCGAGGATTTGCCCTGGAACTTACTTCCTGCTTTGCTGCGCAGACGTCCAAAAAGGATCCTGGTCCAGAGAGAGTGGAATTTAACCCGAAACATGAAAAACTAGCCTGACTGAACAAGTCAATGATTAAACCGCTGGAGACAGACTGACTGGAGACAGGACACGAAACTGTCCATTGTTTTTTGTGTCAAAGCCTGATTAAAAAAACACTCACAGACCAGGTTCATGACACGGAGCCAATCACCTGTGTCTGACCTCAAGGTCATAAAAACTACAGCCACGAATCAGGTTAAAGCAACGAAGAAAAACACTCTTCCTGATTCTACTACAGTATCTACTGCAGTATTACTGACCCCCCCGGGACCATGGCACTGTAGTACTAAGTGAGTAATACCTCATCAGCAGTGGGATGAGCCTGGCTCTGTGGGAAGCGTCGACGACTCCTGTTTCTTCAGAAATGTTAAAATGGACGATCTCCTCCTTGAAGTGTTTGTCGTCCAGCAGTCTCTCCAGATTCTCCCTGAACGAAACACAGACGCAACGTCAACAAAGACGAACTTATTGACTCAAACATGGCTCTTCATAATATAATAAAACCTTATAATACATGTACATATATGTAGGTATATACATTATACATATATATAAACATATATGTTTGTTTAAAATATAATTTATATACGTATATTTATTATATATACTTTAGGTATATAACTAATATTCTACAAATATATGTAAATATATGTTCTAGAAATATATATATATATATACACAGTATTCTAGTATATAAATACAGTTTATATATACATAAACATATATAATGCTTGTTTAATATATTATATATACATATATAATTTATATGTACATTTATTGTATATATATATATATATATACATATATTACATATATAACATACATGTTCTAGAAATATGTGTAAATGTTTTAGAAATATATATATACACAGTATTCAAGTTTATAAATACAATTTATATACAGTATATATATACATAAACATATATAATGCTTGTTTAATATATTATATGTACATATATAATTTATATATGTACATTTATTGTATATATGTATGACTGCATGTATATAACATACATGTTCTAGAAATATATCTATTGAAGCATCCTGGGCATCCATAACACCTCAGCAATGCCACAGGTTGATTGCCTCCATGCCACGCCGCATTGATGCAGTAATCCAGGCAAAAGGATTCCCAACGAAGTACTGACTGCATTAATGGAGATTTTCAAATGTTTGATTTTGTTTTGCTGATATACTTTTTTTTTTTTTTACTTGATCTGAGGAAAAATTCTAATTTTTTGAGATAGGTTTTTTGAGTTTTCTCAAGCTCTAAGCCATAATCAGCAATATTAAAATAATAAAAGGCTTGCAATATTTCAGTTGATTTGTAATGAATCCAGGATGTATGGCATTTTTGTTTTTTTAATTGCATTAAAGAAAATAATGAACTTTATCACAATATTCTAATTTTCTGAGACAGTCCTGTATATATAGTAGTAATTCCTGCCCAGAAACCAGATCCCTGTAACCATGGGAACTGTAATCTGTAACGGTCAGTCAGGCCTTCCCTGACCACCACATCTGTCTGCAGGCTCAGCTGTAAGTTGATATCATGATAACAGACGGTCAGAGTTTTCTACAGACATGATTTGTCCAGTAGGGGAGTGGGGGGGTTTGGGGGGAAGGCTGACAATGACCTCATTGAACAGGAGACAAACAGAGACTGTGGCAGGAATCTGTACATCAGTGTTCCCGTCTATTAGGGTGATTACGGTAGTGGACTTACTTGTAGGGGACGATGTTGGAGTCTTTGTAGGTGAGGACACATTCTAGAGCCACTCGTTGGATCTGCTGGTCCTGATGACAGAGCAGCTGAGAACACAGAGACTCAGGAGGTCAGTACAGAAACACTGCATGGACACGAACACGTACCAGGAGCAGAGAGAGAGGAGGGGTTTTATCTGGTATCACCTGGTTATAGAGCTCGCTGAGTTGGCTCTCCAGGTAAAGAGAGCACGGGTTGGTGAACTGGGCAAAAACCTTCAGATGAGCAATCAGCTGTCTGTCAACAAACAAAACAAAACAAAACACATCAAAAAACAAGTTACATATATACAGTAGATCTATTTCTCTGTTTCTCGGCTGCTGTGATTTATCCCTCAAACTCCACCCACCACATTCATTATAAAAAAAACTAAATATATAAAATAAAATATACAAATATATATAAAAAATCTAAAATCTAAAAATAAAATTATATATTAAAAAATTAATTTTTTGCTATCTTGTTGCAAAAACGCAGCTCAATTAAAATTTCAAGGGGGCGCTGTTGCATTACCAACAGCAGAAAAAATTGTTTTTTTACAAAAATTTTTTATTCTTGCCGTCAGTTCTCTTATCTTCATAAATACTACAAAGAATTAATAAAAAAAAGTTTGAAGTATAATTAATTTCAGTTTCAGATTATTACGCCCCCTGGTGTTACGTGAGTGGAATACTTCTCCACCTTGCAGCTGCTCTCCTGGACACTCCCTTGGTTTGTTGCTGGCCTCTCTCCTCCTCCTCCTCCTCTTCCTCCTCCTCGTCCACAGTCATGTCAGCGTCCTCTGGTGCAGCGTCACTCTTCTTCCTCAGGTCCTGCGTTGGAGCGACCATCAGGTCGGCCGGGTAGAACTCATTCCTGAAGACAAAACACAAACCTTGAGGACGTGGTACCGCAGCGGGTCCCGTCTCCACATATTTCATCATTCAGGGTCAAAATGTCTCCTGTAAACCACGCCCACCTGACGAAGCGGAGCAGCAGAGGACTCAGTTCTCGGCTCCGTGGCTCCACCCGGTCCGGACACTTGGTCATGGTGCGCCACAGCAGGCTTCGGAAGTTTGGGAAGTCTGTCCTGTCGTTGGACTGGTTGGTCGACTTCAGCTGCTCCAGAAACAGCACCCCCACGTCCCCGCTTTCAATGACATCACAGCCGGGCTCGGGCCGTCCACTGGACCCGTCCTCGTCATCGCTGACGTCATCTTCGTCGTCCTCTCGTAACTCCTTTTCTGAGAAGATGCACAACTGTCAGTTCTTAGGTCAAAGTAGGAGGTGCACCAAAATATCAATGCTATGATCGTATCGCAGTATTTCGTCTTGTTGTATGTTATCAATATACAGGCGGAAAATACCTTGACATCATCATCATCAGTCAGTACATTCTGATTACCTTCAGTAACACAACAGCCTGGATGAAATGTATTCCAGTATATCGATTATCACAGAATTGCTGTATCGTGATATTCGTTATCGTGGGAAGAATATCGTGATAGTATCGTATCGCAAGGTACCGAGCAATACTCTATCCTAGGTCAGATCATTAAAATATCTGTACAGATTTTACTCTCACTAAGTGATGACATTTTAAACCAGTTTAAATATTTACCTGCCAGCCCAGCAACCATCTCTAGGTGTTCGTAGTAGATTACCCAGAAGTCTTTGTTGTCCATCCCCCGGGCGTGGCTCCTGTGAGGAGGAAGAGAGAAACATTAATTTTTTGTGTAGTGTTTAGTTTTTATGACACAAAAGTACAAAATACAGGAGAAGTAATATCAAAACAACAACTCATCCTACAAATACTTTATACACGATTTTGAATTTTTATATACAACAAAATATGAGAATATTTCATTTCATCACTGTGTGTTTACTATGATGACAGTTTTACTAGAATTAATTTGTTAAAAAAAAAATATCGTAATGCCTATTGTATCGCGATATATTGCAGTATATCGTATTGTTGCCCCTGTATTGTGATATGTATCGTATTGCCACATTTTTACCAATACACAACCTTAACATCATGCAGTAAAACCAGGACCAGAACCAGGATCTCTTTTATAGTTATTATGGCTGTGTCAGTGTGTACTCTGTATGTAGTAGTACTACGTCAGGATCAATAAAACTCACACTATAAGGTCAATGACGGCGTCCCACAGAGGCCTGAAGTTGACAAAGAGCATCGCGATGAGGAAACGCAGAGGAACCTGGAAGAAAAGAGAAAAACAACGATGTAACGAAGTAATTAAAAAAATTGAGATGATTTGAATCAAACAACGACCACAACGTGAAGAGAGGAGAGAAAAAAAAAACACAAATCAAAATCATCGGTCGGTGTAGTTCTCAGTACCTGCTGAAAGGTGGCGCTGGGACCCTGCGGCAGGCTGCGCTGCACCAGGTCGTGCCTCAGCTTCCGCAGGTGGAGCAGCTTTTCTCTGTAGTCCTGCACCGACGCCGGCACCAACTCTGCCTGCAGGCAAACGGCGAACACCGGCTGGACGTCCACGCTGTCCTCGGCCTGAACTCACACAGAGAGACAAACGTCAATGACTCCACTTCACACCTGTGACGTCTGTCAGACTGATGGGTGTACCTCAGGCTGGGCAGGAAGCTCCGCTTCGAACTGCGACAGGATCCTCAGAGTCAAGAGGCGGATCTGAGAGAAAGAGAGTGGAGCTGGTGAACAACAAATACTCGGCAAATACTCTGTACTGTGTACATTCAATTATATAAAATATAGAGGGGGGTGGTCAAAGTCAGTACTGGACATTATTGGACAAACCTTAGAGACATTGGAGGAAAGATTGGGCTGCAGGATGTGGTACAGCTCCTGCAGTGCACTGTGGGACAGATGCTCTGAAACGCCGCTGAGCGACAGGTGGGTGTAGTACAGGTCTCCCACCAGCAGGGCCGACAGGTCTGTGGGAAACTTCCTACAACCACAGCAAGGAAGGAAATTAAAAAAAAAAAGAACTTTACATTTGTTTACAGCAGTTTTGCAGTGATACTCACCTGAGGATGGACGTGACCTTGTCCACGGTGACCAGAGACAGGAGCTGGGCCGAGCCGTCCAGACTGAGGAGGCAGCTCAGAGCCTGACGGGCCACGAACAGAGCAGCTGAGGGGGGGAGGGAGACACGTCAGAGGGGGAGAAACACGGGAGTCAACGGGGGGGAGAGGAAACAGTCAGAAAACTGAGCTTCACTGCAGTGGCTAAAATACAGTACTTCACTCCTGAAACATCACTGCAGTATCAAGTACTAACATGTATTTGTGTCCTGTTGTTCTGAACATTTTATGACGTGTTGTTTTAAATACTATATAATAAAATAATTCAGAGGGAAATGAAGGAAAGACAAACCTTTTCCAAAGTTTCCTTCGTGGATCTGACTCAGCAGGTGGTTCAACAGAGCGCTGACGCCCGGGACAACAGTCACTGGACTTTGTGGTCTGGAAATAAAAAAAGTGAAAAGTGAAAACCTAAAGTTTGGAGGTGAATTCTCTCCTCCAGGTTTTAGCAGGAAACTAAAGTCATCAGATTTGTCTACTTATCAGTATCGACCAGGAAAAAAGTGAGTAATTTAAAGTAATAAAATCAACACATTTTAACTGTTAATAGAGCAAATGTCGAATATATAAAATCATTAAATGTAATTCAGCCGTTACAACATCAAACAATGTATTTAACTACATGTACATATGTTTTCAATAGATGTATTGGTCCATCAGAATAGTACACAGTGTGATATTTATTGAATAATATTCCGATGGATGTATACCAAACTTTAAGTCTGATATACCCACGGCCACAGGAGGGCACTGTCTATACTCATAACAGCTGCAACTGAACAAAATATATTTGCAAAAAAAAGTCTATTTTTTATTTCAGTAAAAGAATTTACTATTTAATTAGACTTGATGTGGTCGTACCTGAGGTGCGGCAGCAGGATGAGGGCGGACCACGGCAGAGACAGGTCAGTGATTGGTTCCTTCTGCTCCTCGGGGAGATTGATCAGAGACAGTACCAGCTCTGGTACTGATGCCTGCTGTGGTGTGGTACCACTCGTTTGTCCTGGGTTTCGACTGTTTGGTAAAGTCCACGAAAACAAATGTGTTAAAGTCATTAAAATTACAACATGAACACAGAAATAAAAACCGTAAAAGAGTTGAATTTTAATTCCTGACCCTGCGTTCAGTCCGGTGAACAGCAGTGGGTAGGTTTCAAAGGCCATGGAGCCATCTGTGGGGGGCGGGGCTTTAGAGAGGATGAGTTGGACCAACACCTCCAGGCCCGAGTGACGAGACGGGGCGTCTTCACTCAGCACCAGCCCAGCAGAAAAACGCAGCAGACTGGGGAGGAAAAGCTGGAAGAAAAACAGGAGAGGAAGAAGAAAGCATGAGAAAAACACACAAAAAAACAAGACACAAAACAAGCCAAACTACAGTTCACTTCACTCTGGTCTCACCTGCTCAAACTGTTTCATGGTGAACATTTCTTTAGTGAACTCCAAAATCAGATCTTGGCCCATTGTGCTTCCAAAGATCTGTTGAAAATAAACAAAAAAGAAAACGAAGAGACAGACAGAAAAAAAATTGAGAAAACGTTTTTCCTCCTTTTTTACATTTATATTTATGCATTTAGCAAGAACTTTTATCCAAAGCTCTCCACCATTACCTTTTGTATTGTGCCTTGAATCAGTGGGGCGGGGAGGGTGATGTTCTCCCCAAGAAGCAGAGAGGAGACGATCTGGAGGAGCAGACGGGAGCAGGGAACTGACAGAGCTGAGCTCTGGATCAACTGCAGCAACACCTGATTGGTTCACAACAACACAACAGTGTAAACACAGAGTGGACACAGAGGAGTGATGAGGACGGGACTCAGACTGTGAACATAAACCACGTCACCTGGCAGAGCGACTCAGGCTTGGTGACTTTGGATCCGTTTCTGTGAGACACCAGGGTGTGGAGGATGAACAGCAGCCGCTCCAGCTGCTCTGTGGCCTCATGGGCTTTCTCTCCCTTTTCCTCGACGACACACAGGACCTGCAGCACACTGGCCTGGCAGGAGACAGACAGCATCATCAGAGATGCAGGGTTGCTGTGTAAGACTGTACGTTTTAACTCACAGTTCTTTTTTTACCTGCACGGACTCCCATAAGACCAGGAAGTGTTCTTTGTCAACATAATCGGCTGCAGCCTGGGCCATGTGATCCAGAGCGTCCCTGACTGTGTCCCACGGTAAACAGACGTCCGGGTTTGTCAGTGGACCAAGTTTACGCAGAGCTGCGGGGAACGCCTGGTGAGAAAGGCGCAGAGACATATATTTACACAGACGTGTTGAAATGATCGGTACCAACGATCCACGTCAACAAACTCACCCTGGCAGCAACAGAGTGGAACATGTTCCTGACACCTTTGCACATTTCAAACAGGAGCTGACCGACGCCCTCTGCTTTATCAGGATGCCGCTGCAGGTCCGAGAACATAAGGTCCAGCAGGCCGTCGAAGTCTGGGACCTGAATGAAAAAAATTAATTATTCACACAAACCAAAAATCACAGATAAGAAGTTACCAAAATAAGCTGCTGCAAGGAAGAAAAACTCACCTTTCTCATCAAAAAAGAGAAACTCTCTGCTGCAAATTTGCGAATGTGGTCTTTTTTGTGTGCCAGCAGTGTGCTGTACAAACTGTGGAATGGAAAGCACATTTTATTAATTTAAATTTAAAAAAAATCACTTTTAAAAACCATCTCTACATCAGTGATATTTCAGCCAGATGTCAGTACAGTCAAAGCAAAAAAAATTTGTTTGCATTTTAATCAAAAAGTTTATCATAAGTTCACGCAGAATTATAATCAGGAAACAACATGTCAAGTGTCTCATTTGTCACCTGTAGATGTTGGTCATGTCCTTCACCATGAGCCTCCACAGATACTTGTAAAGGTAGGAGAGACAGGTGAAGGCCCATTCTAGAACCTCTGTGTCTTTAGTGTCCAAAAGTGAGGTAATGAGAACAAAGAAGTCTGGGAAGTGAGGATAGAAATCCGTCTGCAGGTCTCGAGCCAGCTGGACCACCAGACTGAAAGGACAAATATGGGATGTTTTTATTTTATTAAAAATATTTTAAAAAGTCCAGTTTTAAAATCATAAATGATTCCGACAGAACACGTACTCCAGCAGTGGTTGGGAGGCGAGGCTGTCTTTGACGGCGAGGTTAGTTTTCAGACACTCCACGATTGACTTCTGGTGGAAAACCAGCATGTTGAAAGACTGGCTCTTGTTTGAGACTTCTTTCAAAAATGTCGCTACAAATGCAAAGAAAAACACAAGCTGAAAATAACACACCTTTATGTTCAACAACATATAAAAACTTTTGTTTATAAAAGACGTAATAATAAACTGTTTACATACTGAATTGCTGGGTCAAGTTGAGGTCCCTCCATTTTGTCAGACCTTCAAAAAAGTAGGTTTCTACCTCCTGCCGTAGGAGAACAGCGTTAAATAGGCAACTTAACAGCAGAGATATTATTGTTTTTATATTCTACCAGATTCACCAATGGTTCATACCTCAGCAAAAGATCCAATTCTGTCAATCCGATGGATGACATCGATGTTGACATTGGCAAGTCTCTCAGCAAATGTGAGAAACTGTAAGAGGGAGGGAGAGATGAAGGGGAGTAAATCAGAACAGTCGACATTAATAAACTGTACATAAGAACTGCAAAATGTAATCACACATGAACTAAAACAGTAACCAGAGGAACTAAAAAAGTTCTAAAAGTATTTGTATATCAATTAAACTTATCTAAATAAAAAAGCAAAAAAATATTTAGCGCTTATGTGAATATAACCGAGTGGTTATGACTTATATGTTGATAAACTAACACAGTGTTAGCTTTAGCATCGTTAGCAGTGAACGTGAAAACTCACCCGGTAGGTGTTCTCCGATTTGTGATACGAAGACTTGGATTTGAGTTTCATCTTGGATTCACTTTTAATCGCGTAATGTTTCCAAAAAGTTTAGAATGTAACAAAAAACGTTAATATTTCCTTTGGTCGAAGCTACAGGTGTAAACACACACGCGACAACAGGAGGCCGACATTTTGGACAAAGCATTGTGGGTAGTATTCCCTGTCACGTGGGGTGGGCCCGTGAGCAGAAGGGCAACGCACTTCCGCTTTGGTTTGCACTTCCGCCTTCGCAAATGTAGAGTTACAAAAAGTTATTTTATTTTTTTTCTTAGTAACATGTCAACTTTAAACCTACAAATATATTTATTAAAACAAAATTAATACTTCGGATGAATAAAGATTAATAAACAATACAACACTGCAACATTGCTATGTATTTTTAACCGACGTGATCATTTGCGCTGACTTTTTTTTTTTAACATTATTGCATTTTCAGTAATGTCAAAGCAGGAAACGCTTTACTTTCAATAAAAGTTCATTATTTTAAATATTTTATATCTTCGTCACAAAACTTTTAAACTGGGAATAATAGTATATTGATAATAATCAACCATCAATAATATTTTTAACTTTATTACTTTGTATTTTTATCCCAAATCGTTGACATTTAAATACTTGCCTTTAGCATTTAGGAAGCAAAAAAATAAATAAAAAATAATAAACACAACTGACAAGTATTTTATTCCTTTTTTTTAATTAATTCTTTGTTTGATAAATTACTAGGAAAAAAAACTTTAAGTCTGAGATCTAGAAATTCTGAACAGTTTCTTCTGCTACACTGTTGTTTCATACAGTCTGTACCTGCTTGGAATGCTCTCTCCTTGTCTTTCCCCCCTCGCTCTCTCTCTCTCTCTTTCTCTCTCTCTCTCTCTCTCACACACACACACCACACACACAGACACTTAAAAGATTTCTGTGCCTTGTTGTTTTTGTTCCTGCATTGAGTCAAGACCGTCACCCGTACAGGACCGCCTGTTTCTGACTCCAAACTCAGACGACAGTTGGACTGAAGTTTTAGTTTTGCTGTTGTTTTAATATTTTAGCCAAAATGTCAGGGGGCTCTGGAGTAACAGGCTCATTTGCAACGACAGACTACGTGGTTTTTGCGATGATGCTGGTGGTCTCAGCAGCGGTCGGGGTCTACTACGCCTGGGCAGACAGGGGGCAGAGAAGCTCAGGGGACTTCCTCATGGGGGGCCGCAGACTGACAGCCCTGCCCGTCTCTCTGTCCCTGACTGCCAGCTTCATGTCAGCCATCACCGTGCTTTCAAATCCAGCCGAGGTAAGGGATTCTCTTGACCGTGAGACGCTGTCCCACAGCAGATTCACTGACTTCTTCAGGTAAAATAAAATCAGACTAAAAATCTGTCAGAAAGTCAAAGGTCAATGTCACTATTTAGTCCCCGTAAATAATGTGTTTAATTAGTTATTACAGGTAAAGAGTAGACTGTAGATACTGAGGTATATTTATAAGATTTGTGGTTTAAACATTTTTATTCTCCAAACATATTTTACTATTATTTTGTGTAAATATATATATATATATATGGGTCCCAAAAGCCATAGAAAATCTTAATTATTTCAGCTGACGTCTGTTTCCACAGGTTTACCGCTATGGAGCCATTATTGTGTTTTATGGTCTGTCCTACATGATGACCATGGTGGTGACATCAGAGGTCTTTCTCCCAGTCTTTTACAGACTTGGCGTCACCAGCACCTATGAGGTGAATGGGTTTTTAATGATACTGTATGACTGTTCTTTAATGGGTTATTAAATAATTATTGATGTATTTAAATGATTATTTTTTACAGTAGAAATATTTTTGGTATAAAAAACTCAGTTTTTTTCAGTCTGTCAAATATATATAAATTTATACTGTATATGTTTGGAGTCTGACATGTGTCATGTTTATGTCCAGTATCTGGAGCTGCGTTTCAACAGAATGACCCGGCTAATGGGAACTGGGCTTTTCATTGTACAAACGGTGAGTGAGACACAAATCCACACGTACTGTCATTACAGTGGCTGAGGTTTGTGGTCGAGGATCGACTAATGCCCAGGTTCTGACCTCTGTTGTCAAAGATCCTCTACACCGGCATCGTCATCTACGCCCCTGCCCTGGCTTTAAACCAAGGTGAGTCGGTCACAGCCCACAGGAGTCAGAACAACATCGCACTCGGACACGAGGGCACTTGAACCTGCAACCGTTGCTGCTTCGTCAAGTGACCACTCTCTGACCGCCTGTTCTTTCTGCAGTAACCGGTATGGACCTGTGGGGGGCAGTCATTTCCACTGGTGTGGTGTGTACCTTCTACTGTACAATGGTAGGTGACTGCGTCAGTTCAAATCTTTTTAAAACAAAAAAGTTTTTTTACGGAGTCGCTAAAGAAACGTGGGATAAAAAAAGTCGCGCATGCGCAGCAGAAATCTCTCATGTTCCTTTAGGAGCTCTGTCAATTTTAGTTGGTTTTTGATCATTTTTGATCATCCGATTTCTAATCAACCCTTTATGGTTGACATCTGATCAGGGAGGTCTGAAGGCCGTGGTGTGGACCGATGTTTTTCAGGTAAAAACACCGATAATAACATTTTAAATGGATAAGAGTAAATGTAAATGACGTCAGTGTTTTTTAATGTTTTACCTAACTTTTAACTCATCCCCCTCTTCCTCCTCCTCCTCCTCCAGCTGGGCGTCATGCTGGCAGGCTTCCTGTCCGTCATCATCAGGTCTGTGGTCCTCCAAGGTGGAGTCCTGCCCATTCTCTTGGACTCACAGGAAGGTGGACGGCTTCAGATATGGGAGTGAGTACGAGCAGAGTTCTGAACTCTGGAGGAACTGAACCCTCACTTGATGGTTTTTTCACTATTTTGGAAAAATAAATGTACAAGTTGAAATAAATCACTGAACAATAAAGTACGTGAGGTGATAAAAAAATTCAATAATCACAATTTACTCAAGACTTTTAGTTTTTTGGAGAAAACATTTTTTGTTGTCAAAGATTAATAAAGACTAATACATTTATTAAAAATTTCTTTTTTGACTTTTTGGTAAAACGTAACCCTCCAATCAGCTTTGACCCAAACCCTCTGAAAAGACACACGTTCTGGACCATAACCGTCGGTGGGACGTTCGTCTGGGTCAGTATCTACGGGATAAACCAGGCCCAGGTCCAGAGATACATCTCCTGTCGGACCATCAACCACGCCAGAGCGTGAGTAACACCGACACCGGCCTGAAGGAAACGTTTACCAAAAAGTTAAGGAAACTCTTACTGTCATGTACTGTGTAGTACATCTGAGTACTCCTGTGTTTTTTCATCCTGCGTCCAGATCTCTGTACATCAACCTGTTGGGCCTGTGGTCCGTCCTGCTCTGCTCTGTTTTTGCCGGATTGTGCCTTTACTCGGTCTACAGGAGCTGCGACCCGTGGACGGCTGGTCTGGTTTCAGCTCCTGATCAGGTTCAACCACAGACACACAGACACAGACACAGACACAGACACAGACACAGACACAGACACAGACACAGACACAGACACAGACACAGACACAGACACAGACACAGACACAGACACAGACACAGACACAGACACAGACACAGACACTCACTGGTCTGATAATAATGAATTAACGTTGCATACATTTTACAAACAACACAAACGCTTACGCTAACTTTTTGTTTTGTTTTGTGCCTTGGCAACAGTTCCAGACATCGGTTTTCGGCTCAGTCGGAGGAACAGATTCCTGGAATCCTGACATAAAACACATTTATTTCTGTTCAATTGTTGTTGTTTTTTTCTCAAACATATCTGTTATTCAACCTGTGGGGCGTGTCCTGCCCGTTGGCCTCTTGTTTACTCTAACATATGAAATATTTGGTTTTGTTTGTGACACTGAAAGATACAGTAAAGGGCCAGTCCTGGAAATTCCAAGTCAGAACTGAACTGTAGAGACTTTTTCACTCGTGTGTAAATATATATAAAAAAGTCGTTACTTTGGTGTGAACGCAACAGTTCTAGACGGTTCCTGTCCTGATGTCTCCAGGGACTGATCTCTGATGATGGGTCATATTTACCGTCTTCTCCTTTTTTCCAGTTGATGCCATATTTGGTGATGGACATCTTGAAGGACTTTCCAGGACTTCCAGGACTATTTGTGGCGGCGGCGTACAGCGGATCTCTGAGGTAACGTTGACTGTCACACTTGGGTTCCACCATGTCGTTTTATTTCCTCCAGTTAATGTGTTTGTTATGTCGTATATTTCACTGAATGATTTACATCAGTGTTTTTCAACCTTTGGATCGCAACCCCCACACTGGGTCACCTGGAATTCAAATGGAGTCGCTTGAAATGTCTAGTAATTGATTTTAAAAAAAAAGTCTTTTTCATTTAAAATAATGATTAAAATTAAAAATTAAAATATTCTTGATTGGAAAAAAATGTCTGAAATTTGTGATGTCACAAGCAAAAAAAAAAGGTCGGGAACCAGTGGTTTACATCATAACATACAGTCAGACAGAAGAAGGAACGTGTTCATCAAAGTATTACTACAGTTCTGTGTCATTGCTGTTAAACCGCAGCACAGTGTCGTCCAGCATCAACGCCCTGGCGGCCGTGACCGTTGAAGACCTGATCAAACCGCACGCTGACCTGTCAGAGAAACAGCTGAACCGGATCTCCAAAGGACTCAGTGAGTGGAAACGACTGTTTGTCTGGGCTTCGTGCCTCAAGGTCGTGGTTAAAAATTAAAAAATGCACTCATCTCTGCAGGTCTGGTGTTCGGAGCCCTGTGCGTTGGAATGGCGGCATTGTCCTCACTGATGGGAGGGATCCTGCAGGTGGGGCTGTTTATCGTCTCTGGGTCAACAATAAAACTTTACGAGAACGTTTTGTACTTTTTAATCAGTCAAAAGTTCCTTCACCTTTGACCAGACGTTTCTCCGTCCTCAGGCAGCCATCAGTATATTTGGGATCATCGGCGGTCCTCTACTTGGTCTCTTCACGCTGGGAATCCTTTGTCCTGTGGCCAACACTAGAGTAAGTCCGTCTGATTTGACGGAACATTTAAAAAAAAAATTGATTCTTGTGATTGTCCTGCAGGGGGCTCTGGCAGGTCTGGTGTCAGGGTTGGTCATGTCCCTGTGGGTGGGCATCGGAGCCCAGGTCTACCCCTCTCCTCCTGAGCTGACCCGGCCTCTGCCCCTGACCACAGAAGGCTGTAACTTCACCACCGCGAACCACCTCAACTGGACCGCCACGGCGCCACCAACACAACTGGACCACACTGCTGCGGCTGCAGGTCGCCACAACCACAGCAGGTACTGAACGGGCCGCAGCTGGGCAGGAGGAGGGGACTTCATTTGATTAGTCACGATTAATTGTTTGTAACAAATATCAATTAATCATGATTAATTAAAGGTTTAATCAGGTTGGTGATGAATAACGATTAATCACAAATAATTATACACGATTAATTATGTAATAAATAACAATAATCATGTTCGCAATGAATAACGATTAATCACGATTACTTAATGGTTACAAACACTATAGATAGCATTTTAGCTAATGTTTCCAAAGGGTTCAGTTGTTTAACATGACACCTCCAGGTGATAAAACTACCCTTTTATTTTAATGAGAAACTATTAATAATTAATTAATTTCAATATTTTGACAGAAACCATTGTTTTTTTCCGTTTTTCTGCACAACTAATTGTAAATTATTGAAATTTGATTTTAACGACAAAACCAACAATAGTTTTTGACATTTATAACAGACGACTGATTAATGAGAAAAATACATTTTTAAATGTTATTAAACCCTAAAATATATCATATGTATGTTATTAAAATAAAATATAATAAATATGTTAAGAACTGGTCCATATTTGTCACCATTTTACAGCCTAATGTTTTGCTTAACTTCTGCCCATTTGGCTGGAAAAGAGGGGGAAAAATGTGGATTACGATTCCTGGTCATTAACCTGGAATTCAGGTTTACTGTTACCACCAGGCCAGAACTGAATGTTCCTGAAAAAGAAAGTTCAAACAGAGAAGAAATGTTGACGTTGTCCTCTCAACACGTCCTCCTGTGTCTCCAGGCCGGTGCTGGCAGAACACTGGTACTCCCTGTCCTACATGTACTTCAGTCCAGTTGGAACCGTAGCAGCGGTCAGCGTGGGTCTGATCGTCAGTCTTTTCACTGGTACTTTTCTTTGTTGTTGTTTTTTTTTGTCTCATTCTTCATGTCCTCCACATGAACGTAAACATGGTTTCCTGTGTTTGTGGTCAGGAGGCTGCGGTCAGGAGGTGTCGTCAGAGCTGACCCTGATGAAAGAAGACACGTCACTTTATCACCTGTTCCAGTTCCTCTCACACAGAGTCAGTGTCGATCAACTACTCACTCTGTACAAATGAGTTTTTGAACTGTTGACATGAACTTTTGACCTTCGCTCCTCGCCTCTAAGGTCACGTGGTGGACAGGTCGACGCGACCCGACAATCGACAGAGCGGAGAAAACCGGCAACGCCAACCCGGCCTTCTACCACGTGGAGCTGGACTTGACCAAAACCACAGTTCCATCCTGATCCAAGGAATCGAAGGAACCACAGTCCTGGATCTGGAGGAGGAATCGGTTTTTCTTTTTTTTTATGTCAAACATGAAGTATTTTATAGTGAAGACTGTTGATGTCAGTGATCAAATCCAACAGTCAACAGTCTGGGGACATTTTGTTCTTCAGTGAACAGGGAGCACATTCCAAAAACAACAGTACCAGACACTCAGTACCAGACACTCAGTACCAGACACTTAGTACCAGACACATAGTACCAGACACTCAGTACCAGACACTCAGTTCCAGACACTCAGTTCCAGACACTCAGTACCAGACACTCAGTTCCAGACACTCAGTTCCAGACACTCAGTTCCAGACGCTCGTTACGACCTCAGGTTTTAGCACCTTAGCTCTTCTGATGTCTGTTGATTAACTTTTGGCTTCTAATAAAAAAAAAAAAGATTGCGTTGTTGACACAGATGTTACACACTGTAAAGTACAATACTGTAAAGCTCAGTGGTTCTCAAACCACGGTACGCCTAACACTGCTGGTACTTGGCTTCTCTTTGGACTCATTTTTTTAAAGGAAAATGAACAACTCTTAGCTGTTTATAAACATCTCATAAACCAAAACTCTAACTGTTCTCAATCAAAATGACCAATATTAAGTAGCTTCACGGACCACCCGGGGGTCCCCGAACCTTCTGTTGAAGGCCTCTGATCTAGTGCAGAGTGACAGTGTCAGTTGTTACAGTGCTGCATTGACGTGCGACTGCTGGTTGTGACAGTGGAGGACCTGATCAAACCGTTCACCAGGCTGTCCGAGCCCCTTTCCTACTTTTATTTTGGCCTTGTTGCCACGGTTACATCCATCCTTGTGGGAATAATCGCCATCTTGGCTACAGGTAAACCAGACTGATCGACAGCATGAATCCGGTTCTATTTTGTTGACAGAGAGTTCATTTCAGGCGGCTCGGTGCAGGAAGTTGAACCAACGCTCGTGCTCCAAAAGGAAGACACAACCGTGTACCAGGCATTCTTGTTTTTCAGAAAGAGAGTAAGTTTACAAGCGTGAAGGTTTTATAACAGTAAAACTTGTACCTCCTAATGTGTTCTTTACTCCTTAAAGACCAGGAGACGGACAGGAGAACTTGACCTGACGACGACTGGAATGGAGAAATCTGGCAAAATAAACTCTGCTTTCTATGACATGGAGATGGACAAATGAAAAAGAAAAGTTATTTTTCTATTGAAGGACACACTTTTCTCAATGATTATGCACTGACAAGTTGAATGTATATCTACTTGGAGGATGTCACAGCTTATTTCAAAAATAAATGTTGTTGCCAAACACAACAGACACATACAGATCTGGTGTAAGAAATATTTATAAATATTTACAGATACACTTTTAGGTTTTTATCATTATGTAGTTGACAAAAAAGACATCGGTCCGACGTCACAACAAATATTCCAAATATTATTTGACCTGATGAGTGTTAATTAACCACAGACAACCAAGGATATGGGGGGGTCGAGGTGGGGGGAGGTCAAACCAGGTGAAACCTCACCTGTAGGAAGTTAGTCTGACACTGCAATATTACACAAACACATAAATAAATAAATACATAAAGTTCATTCTATATTCCTGTCTGCAAAAATTGTTTAAAAACAAAACTTTACATTTGAATGTAGGTTAAAAATATGGCAACAAAAACCCTTTGTTGAAGAGAGTGGTGTATTTCTGTCTGTATGTCACTATGACTGACTGTTGCACACCATTAATGTACACAGCTAAGGTTCATAATATCTTTTTTTCATGGTTCGGTACTTTCTAAGGAAGTAGAGTGCTTCTAGCTCCTTAATGACAAATTCACCTCGGGCCACCAGTTTCTGGATCTTCTCGGGATCAGTTTCGTCCTTGTTCTTCATGAAGGCGGACTTCAGGCGCTCCTTGAAATACGCCGTTCCCTTTGGGTACTCTCGACCGATATACAGCAGCTGTGATAAATGAAATTTATAAAAAATATTTACATTTAATTATCTTAGCATTTGAAGTACAACATAACAAGTGGCACTTACAGTTTTGTACAGCCTGATGACGTCACTCCTCAAAGGTTTGGCCATTCCAGAAACGACGATGGTTCCCGTTGTTCTAAAACGACAGGAAAAAAAATTAAAAAGTGTTTTCCCATCAAATAACTGCAAAAAATAAATAAATAAAATTCATGTAACTACAGCAGCAGTGACTAGAAGCGGAACAACAGACGATGAGTAAATTAAACTAGCAGTTAGCTCGATAGCTGCTTTGTCTATTTTTTGATTAACTTATGACGTGCTAGTATTTAAGAAAAACAACAACTTTATATTTCAACCTGTTAACACAGAAGGAATGTTTAAATCGAACTGCACGGACCTGTTCTCTTTTTCACTTCACCTTCACAACAGACACCCTTACAACACCACTGGCCGTAAACCGTTACTTCTTGTGTCGCAAATAATAACAGACAAAAAACGCATGCGCAGGTATAGACGCCTCCATGGTAACCACGACGCTGACGATTTCAACAGAATATGGTAAGTTTTTTCCCATATTATGTTCGATTTTTGGCCTTTAAATATGTATAATAAGGATAAGAAACATCCGGGTTTGAAGATTTAATAATGTTTAGATTAAAATTAAGCTTTTTCTGCCATGTTACAGTCCAGGATTAGACTATATCGCTTAGTTTAAAGAAAGAAAAAACTAGCCACTCGTTACCAAAAGACCGAGATAGAAATGAGAAGAGAGAAGTAAAAAAACTGAAATACGATAAACAGGAAATATACTTAGTTACAACAATCAAATACCGGTACACATCTGATTCGTTAAAACGTCGAATTGAACCGGTCACTGGAAGAAAGCTTGTAATTTGTTTTTTTTTAGTTACAACAATCAAATACCGGTACACGTCTGATTCGTTAAAACGTCGAATTAAACCCTTGAAGTTGAAATAAATTACGGTCACTGGAAGAAAGGTTGTAATTTACTTTTTTTAATTATTATATTTTAAGTCTTCCAAAAAAGCACGTAAACCTTCCAAGTCTCAGAAACTGAAGCAGGAGCAAGAGGAGGAGGAGAGGAGGCTGCAAGAAGAAGGTAAATCAACTTTGGATCGTTGTCTTTTACAAAACAATGGCTGTGTATAAATGACACGTTAGCATTTAGCAGACACTAAAAGTGTAAAAACTTTAACATTTTATTTTTCTCTACAGAGGAGACCAGGCTCCAGGCAGAGAGAGAGGAGCAGGAAAGGCAGGAGAAGGAGAGGAAAGAGAAGGAGCGCGAAAGGCTAGAATTGAAGGTAGGTGTGACGTCATCAATGCCCTGTTGTCCAATAGAAGTCTTGATAATCGTTCAGTCAGAGCGGGTGTAAAAGACAAATTAGTGATGCAGATTTTTTTTTTCTTACTCATGTGCCGAGAGGACAGGGAGTTCAGAGAAGTTGAACTGGACGAACTGCGCCATCTGCTGGAGGACAATCACAGTGCAATAACCGAATGGAAAGCTGATGCAGCCGAGAATGCCAAGGTGATTTTTCTTTTTCCCTCAAAAAAAGTATACAAGGTTTCTGGTACAATATAATGTTAAACTAATCTACATTTTTTTATTGTTTTTTTTAATAAATATATATATAGTGGGAGAGGTACATAAAGTGTGATGGACACCCTGACCCTGCAGTACAGCAGGATATTAATACCTTTATAACCTTATGGAGAGATGACCCAGAGGTCAGGATCAAACCCGTGCTCCAGCAATGTCACCTCGCTCTACAGGTCTATATGCTGTGTGTACATGTGTATGTGTGGTTGGATATTTACTTTAAATATAATTTCATTTTTATGGACATAAAATATGAGAGTTATAATAGTCAACATATTGCGGCCTAACTAGCTGGTGGAGGAGCTGGAGACCCTGCTCAAAGATGCTGCCGACACCAGAGAAGCCAACATCTACAAGGAAGCTCTGGTGACGATGCAGGAGTTAATCCACCGTAAACATCTTCTAACTGCTGAGGAGATCCTCAAGGTAGGAGGAAGTCACTCCTACACCGGGATAGATGTAGGATGGACAGAGAGGAAGGTTTCGAAGGAATACTTCAAGTTTAGCTGCAACCACGTTTGAATTTTGTGATGCGATCACAGAGGGCCAACGAGGACACGGACACCGAAACAGGCAACATGAAGACTGTGGTGAGAGATGAGAACATTACACTGTGTCTGTGGGCCAACCTGGAGAAGAACCCCAGGTACATGTGTGTGTGTGTGTGTGTGTGTGTGTGTCAGGATAAACACAAAAACAAAACTGTATCACAAAATACCTGGGACGTCTGTTCTTGTCCGACCGCTGCACCCAGGTTCAAAGGGTTAAACTTCGACGACACCGGGTTTGGATTTGAGCTCCCGAAACAGTTGGCCGTCAGTGACGTCGCCGTACGGATTCTCCACACTCGCTACGACCACCTGTCCCTGCTAGCCTGGATGACTCACGCCAAAATACACACAGCTAACCAAAGGTCAGACATCACACAACCTCTGCTGATATTATTGTTGATTATCGTTTCATTCGCGGGGGTCAAACCAGTTCTGATTCTAATCAGATTGAACCCCAGGGTAGCTGTGGATTAATCGTGATTATTCGAGATAAATCAACATTCCTAGTTTCATCTTTTTCCACATCTGTTATTTGTAACTAATCCAAATGAACGATTATATCTACTGGACTGGTTTGTCCCAGAACTCTTGCACCGACCGACAAGACTCCAGAGGACGATCACGATCCTGAAGGAGAGGAGAAGGCCAAGGACAAGGGGGAGGTAAAAGGTGACAAGATGCTGCAGCAAAGAGTGGATGAAGAGATGAAGTCGCTCCGAGGGTTGGAAGGAACGAAGGTAGAAAAGGAAAGGCACGAGTCGGTTTGTTAGTTTTCAGTGTTAATTCTAGTCTGAATCTTTGTCACAGAGTGCAGTCAGGAAGAACAGTGCTCAGCCTCCAGAGGGCAGAAGAAGCCACATACAGACACAGATGGAGGCTCTCTCTGGTGGGTGTCCACATGGAACTCCTGCTGAGGCCACAGTCCCACCTCACAGGAATGAACCTCATGGTTGTCACTGATTTGTCTGTGTTGGTTCTCAGTCATTTTGGTGCAAATCTGTTAACCAAGAGGATTCTTCAGATTGGCTGAATACCTGACCAGAGTCCATTGTTTGAACCTTGGGGTCGTGACCCCACATTGGGTCACCTGAAATGTGAAAAAAAAAAAGATAAAATATTTTTTCAACAAATTATTATCCTAAAATTAAGATAAAAAACCACCACACAATCTTAAATAACTCCATTCTTTCACCTTCATTAATATGAATGTGTATAAATGAGAACTCCATTCTTTCACCTTCATTAATATAAATGTCCAATTGAATCGAGGATATAAAAACATCTGAGCTGACTTATCTTGATTGACGGCTGTGATCACGTGACAGCTACTGAAGTCGTCTGTGGCGTCACCAGAAATTTGTGATGTCATAATGAGGTGACCACGCCCTGACCCAACGACACGATTGTTGTTCTGAACAAATGTCTCTTCCTCTCAGCGGAGGTTGTGTTAACGTCACCAGCAGAGGAGCTCACGGCCGCGGACCAAACTGACCGAGTCCTAGTGGTCGACTTGATGGAATACACACCTCTGGGGGGCGTCTTCTACTTCGACGTGTTCCATCTTCCTCCACAGGCTCGTCGCGTGAATGAGTGGGAGATCAGACAGGTGAAGGAACCGAAGAGTTCCTCTGAGTTCCTCCATCTGTTCTCACTTCTGACCCTTCTTCTTCTTCTTCTTTTTTTATTCCTTCTCCACAGCTGCTGGACACTGGGTTACAAATGTTTTGTTACCCTACGGGAAAAACTAGCTCACCTGAAAATGAGGCCCACACCTGCCCCCCTGTTGGAGTGTCTGTGAGACTGCCCGACTGTGTTGTCTTTCTGGAACCTCCCCTAGTGGCTCGCTGGGACACTGCAGGTGAAGAAAGAACCTAAACTCCTCACACACACACACACCGTAAAAACTTCAAATGTTCTCAGGTGGACTAGACTGGACCACTCGTCTCTGTCCTAGATAAGCAGTGGAGGACGGACGGAATCACCGACGTGTCCTACAGCCAGGAGGAGGACAATGTCTCCTTCAAAATGGACTCCTTCCATGCTTTCGTGTTGATGCAGGAGACGTACATCAACCTCCCTCTGCAGAGGTGGGAACTCAGACCACTGGGCCGAGACTCTGCTGTTTTCACCTTTAATGGAGCCTTCATCACCCTCATCATCACCGTTCAGGTGAGAGACACAAACAAACATTCTCCCAAAATGATAAAAACTCACCTTCCATCACATTGACTCACAGGGCGATCGCTGTATGCTGCAGTCAGACGATCACAGGGGTCTTTCCCACATCCTGGGACAGTGGCTGAGCAGTGCTGTGCTGCAGAGAGCCATGATCAAGGCTGGAGTCAACGTCTTTGTCAATGAGTTCACCGACAGATACGTCAGCAGCTGCGGGAAGGTCAGTGTCAGCGTCTTCCTCTCCTTCAAAATAAGAGATCCTCATTAGGATTGTTCAGGCATGAGACGGTCATTTATAGACTGTTGTTAATCAGCATCATCAGAAAAGACATTTTCACATTCATACGATCTCACTCTAAGATGGTGTTTTTCAACCTTTTTAAACAAAGGCACACACAGTATTTCCTGTTAGAAAAAATACCACTGCACACCACCAAACAAACAAATGTCCAAAAAGAAGTATTTGTTATAATCTGTAATGTTCTGCTAGTTTCAATTTACTCACTCCACATGCAGCCTGGGCCTGTTTAGTTGAACACAGCACTGATAATTCTTGCAGGAAGTGAAGAAAGACATGAAGATCTTCAATAGAAGTCTCTGATGTTTTATCTGTAACTGCTGCCATCTGGTGGAAGATAATTTCATTGTTATGCCCATCACTGTTGCACAGACAAAGACGAATTATTACCAGTCAAACAAACAAGTGACATTTCACTGGATTTCCACAGTAACCTGATGTATCTGCTCTTTTTACTTTAAGTTTAATAACATTTAGCATCAACAACAACTGACAGATGACGTTTAATAAAGTTAGTAATATTAGTCAGAGTCAACGTACTGTGCAGCACGTTAATATAAAGGATGATTCCACATCGTGTTTGGTCGTTGGGTCACTGCCGCCAACGCTCGTGTAATTGGCCGTCCAACAGTCACCAGGGAGTTATAAAAAGAGCCGAGTGTGTTCTCTCCTCTTCAGGACCCACTCACAGAGCACGCTGCCTACGAACAGATGGCCCTCGTCGCCTCTGCCTGCGCTTTCTCGTGGAGCAAATGGAACACGAAATGTAGTGCTGAGCATCTGATGGTGCAGGTATTGTTTTCTGGGTATTAGAGTGTTTTTTTTTTAAAATCAAAAAACAAACAGAAATATTTAATTAGTTGTCGTGGGGGAACTGTTCCTGAAAACAAATTTTTTTCATTAAATGGAATCATAGAAATGCACCTCAGCTATAAATGAGAAACATTTTTAAAAATACAAAAAATAATAATCAATCAGTAAATAAAACAAATCATAATTAAGTAATGTTGATAAAACTCAAGAGGTGGAGAGGTGACCCAGGCAGGAATGGTTTCCTAAATGTGAAATAAAAAAATAAATAAAAACATGAGTGACTGCAAGAGTTCACCAAGAACATAGAAGAGTAAAAAATAACACATGAAATTTTTACTTGTACTTTTTGACATTACATTAAAAAAAAAAAAAAAACCTCAAACAGCAGGATTATTGACTATAGCAGCAGTTCTCAAATAGTGGGGGGGGCATGAGGGGCTTCCAATGGAATACGGCACACAAGTGTACCACTGCTGTAACACTTGAACAATAACAAGCCTCCAGTCACTAGGTGGCAGCAACTCATACATTGGTTTGTACAGATAAAAAATATATACATTTTCAAGTTCTCAATAGTATTTTAATTCACAGGGGTGTCTGAGGGGGGGGGGGGGGCTACAGTCATGTAGTGACTGAAAATAACCAGACAAGTTTAGTGTTATTTGCTCCTCACTCCTTTCTCCTTCCAGGCGTGCGAGCACCACGGTCCTGGTCCCGTCTCCAAGGACTCGTGGCACCTCTACCTGCTGGGCGCTCAGATGAGTCAGAAACTGGAGATGAGAGAGAACGGTCAGACTCTGTCTCTAGACCATCATCCTGGCAGCGAGTTTCACTCCACCTTCATCCACATGCTGCAGGAGGACATGAGTGACGACGGCAGAGCCCGGAGCAGAGACTCGAGTTTTCTGTTCGTCAACACGGTGCAGAGTCTGCTCTGTGCCACCAGGCCTCTGATGTTCTCTTAGACCCGTCTGTAAACTCGTAACAATTTGGTCAAATGATCGAGTTAAAAACCAACGTCCCATTTTTAAAAAGGTCTTCTATTTTATTTGTGCAAAACCTCACGTGGTCTTCAGAACAAATACAAAAAGTGTGTGTGGTTGAAAAACAGTCGCCACCTCAGTAAGGACGGAAGAGAAACAAAAGAAAAAAAAAAAAACTTTGGTGACAGACGGTAAAAACGCTGATTTACAACTTTAAATATATATATATTCACATATCCCCAACTCAAAACAAGCATAAATAGAGTTTAAAGCACTAACAAAAACACTTAAAATTAGTTTATTATCAGTGTTTGTAGACAGAAAAAAAAAATATATTTGTTATAATGCAGTCCCTGTCTGTAGGTGTTTTAAAAAGTCATGTGACACAGGTCAGAGTTTTTGTCCACTGGACCTTGTGGACCAATCAGCACGAGCTGTGACATGACTGAGCAGCGTTAGGTCAGCTCTGCTGACTGATTAATTCCTATGAACAAACCCTGTAGGGCCCAGGATGACCTCTGCTGGCAGCTTTGAAAAGTAAAAGGACATAATTTATTTAAAAAAAAAAAAAATTGTGAGCAGCCTACTGTGAGGACATGGACCTGATCTTTCTCTTAAAACAGAAACACACCTTCACACACAGGCTAACTACTTTAGCAAACGTGATGTGCTGTGTAAAATCCTCCGTAGGGTTAACTATGCCCCGAGGACCGGCCAGTGCTGACAAAGAGTCCAGTTTAAATCTTCAGGCATCCATCAGTGGTGGTGGTGGTGCACTGTCCTCTGTTAATTTCCCCCCACGGCACGCAGGACAATCTCTGCAGAAGGCTAATTAGCGATAGCACCAAAATCCCCAGGTCCCAGAGGCTACACTGGGGGCTGCCCGTTGTGCCGCAGCCCCGTGTAGGGCCACAGCAGCTGCTGGATGGTCATCCAGGAGTCTCCAGTCCCCACAGGGGCGGCATCTACAACTGGCTGCATCACCAGACTGGCCAGCAGCGCCAGGAGACCTGGAGCGGATGACGTAGCGAAACACGTCACCGAACAAATCGTGCAGCAGAAAATATCAGGCAACCTTTAAATTTACATTTAGACAAATGTATTCACATTCTAAAAACAAAAGCAACAGCATGCCATATTCAAAGTGAATTTTTACCTGCCAGCACCAGCAGCAAGGCCAACCACAGCCACAGACCTCTGCTGCCTCTGGCTACAGCTGCTGCAGCCGCTCGAGAAGACATCAGGCTCTGGGACAGAGACTGGACTATACCTGGGTCAGCAGACGTCGGGCTGGAGGAAGGACTGGGACTGGACGTGGGCGGAGAAAAAAAAACAATTTAGCATAAGAGCTACACTATGATGGACAACTAAGATGAGAAATAATTTTTTTTATGATGGACAACTAAGATGAGAAATAAATTTAAAAAAAAAGTCAGATGAAGCACAGGAGTTGATGAGACACCAAAAATACACAGTAACACAGGTTAGTAAAAACACACAGGTCATCTGGTCTGACCTGCATCCAACACAAACAGGCAGTGGGTGAAAGCAGTGGGTTAGCAGCACCAGTTAGCATTAGCGTCAATGTACAATTGTGGTTAAAAACCAAGTGTGAAGGAGCCACTTCGTCATGCGTGAGGACAAAGACTGAGCAGCAGCAGCAGCAGAGGCGATGGCAGTTAGCGTTCAGCTGAGTGTGAGTGACGTGACGTTGGCCGTCCTTCACACTTACAGCATGACAAAGAGCTCATCCTGACTCCTGAGTGTTGGCAAGGAAAGGATGAGAGGAAGGAGAAGGTAAGAACAAGATGTCTTCCTTCCACAGAACACACACTCACCACACAAGAGAGAAAAAGCAGGTTTGGTTAAAGCATTAAAAACAAAAGAAAACAAAAAATCACAGTGGAGAAGTGGCTGGACGTGTTAGTGATCAGAGAAACAAAGCCTTAAAACAAAATAACAAAAATTGTCAATAGTCGTACTTTCCACAGTGAAAAACATTCTGATCCATGCACCAAACCCACCAAGCTCACAGTTCACATTTGCTGCTGGGAAAAAAAACGATCTCAAATCAGATTGAGAGCTGAAGGAAAAGCCCTGTGAGAAAGACGGCGACTTGACGCGACTGTTAGCTTGTTAGCCCGTTAGCTGCTGGAACGAAGAAGCACAGAGTCCAGCACTGAGCCACAAACGGAAGACTCATCATTCAAGCACAGTTTGAAATTTTTTAACAGCTGCAACAACCAATCGGACGCTGCAGCTACTGGACCCTAAATGATGAACACTTCGCCCCCTAGCGTTGCTGGCAGAGTATTGCTGCAGTCGGTCAGCAGTAGGTAAACTTTGGGTTGGACTAACGTCTTCAGAGGCAGAATGAAAGAGCTGATTATGTTGCCCAGCTCATTGAGACTGGACTTCCTCCTGTCTGCCACCGGCTCCTCCGTCTGCTCGTCCTCCGACTGGCAGTCGGTGGCGTCACGGCCGTTCCTGTGAGCACGTGTGGGTCAGGCATTTAAACAAAACAATCTCCATTCAAATACAAATACAAGCGCGTGTGTGTGTGTAAAAACAAAAAACATGCATTTGCAGCCAACACATACAGGCAGATGCAGACATCCCATAATATTCATTGACATATAGTCTCCAGATCCATGCCCAGCAACACACAACACATACTGCAACGTTATTTTAACCATCAAAGAATTTTCACATTTTACAAAATTTGAAATTTTTTAAAAATTTGAACTTAGCTTGTCCACCAGGGCACAAAAACTTTATGATATTTATATAAACATGCCAAGCTCTAAGCGTTTGATGAACAGCCCCCCATGCCAGAATGAACCTGATGCAATAAAGATGGCTGCACAAAAATACTTTAATCTTCAGTGTATAAATGATAGTCTTTAATTTCGTTTGTTAAAAAATGCTGCAAATTAAATGCTTTAATCTTCAGTGTATAAATGAAAGTCTTTAATTTCGTTTAGTTAAAAAAAATAAAAAGTGAGAGCAAATATTTTTGTGATGAGATACGACTGTGACATCAGCACTGACCAGTAGGAGTGCTGTTATGTCTCATGCTTTGGTCTATGGTCTACGGTGCGGCCATCTTTATCCATCGGTCGTTATGATAAATGTGCCTGTGTGAATAAGCTGGAGCGACCTCCTCCTCCTCCTCCTCCTCCTTTCTTACCCCTTCATCATCACAGAGGGTTCTTCCGTGTCAACCCAGGCTGCAGAGCTAACAAAGCGTTTTAATGGAGGTCGGGCCATGTTCTTCCCTGTCATATTCCTGGAAACCACCATGATAACAGACGTGCAAAACAACGACAACAACCATAGCTGTGTTGTGCTACAACAGGCAGCGGTGACACGGAACCACAGCTCTTCACCATGTGAACAACTAACGTCTCCATTCATTAACGCAAAATTATAACATAAAGGTTAAATAATAATAATAATAATAAAAAAAAAAAACTTAAACGGTCACAAAGTCAAGACATTTTGTACATTTTCAGACGGGATTTATGAAAATAACTTTTGACAAACAAAATTAAAGTCAATGTCAACATTTAAGCAATAAAATATGAAAAATATAGTTTAATGACCAAATAGGAAGACATTTATAAAATAAAGTTTTTTTCTAAATTCTGTATTTTATAACTTAATTTTAAATTACAGAGATTTCTGTGGTGGGTTCAGTAAGTATAGGAAACACAGGGGGACGGAGGGGGGGGGGGGGGGGGGGCGGGTCCCTCTTGGAGAGTAATAATATTACAGGGGCGGGCACAGCAGGTCAAACTTCTTAAATTTTTATATATTTTTTTATTTTATATTTGTGCCAAAGTGAGAAAATTAACTGATATGTGTCAAAATGGGGTGGGCTCAAAAAAAGTCCTAGCTACAAAAAGGGGGCGCTGCAGAAACATTCTGGGAGATTGACTAATATTTTTAATACAGTTTTCTTTAATCTACTATATTTATAAGTCAAACAGTGAACATGACGTGAACATGTATGAAGACCTACCAGGGTGATCGTCTGGTCAGTCTCTCAGTGTCAGCGTCAGACAGGTCCTGTGGTTTGGACTGAAGGTCATGAATGAAAGAGAGAGAGAGAAAAAAAAAACTCTGTTACCTTCAATAACACAGACATGATATTTTAGTCAGTAAAGTCTCTCACTCTGGAGGGCAACCATACTGGTTAATAGTTTTTAATCTAACATCTAAACACACACACACACACACACGGACCATCTGTCAGTTGTCACAGAACCACATTCTGGACTGGATCAGTGAAGTACTGACTATAGTACTGGTACTATTCCTTACCAGGTCGAAAAACATGTTGCTTCCACCGGAGCGGGGGATCGCTGCTATGCTGACCCGCCGTGCTGTGGACTGTGGAAATTAAATATTAATAAATAATAATAAACTTTTTTTTTTTTTTTTTTTAAAAGACCATTTTCAGAAAAAAAACTCAAATGGAAACTCGTTTCGTACTCACCTTGTAGTATTGTGACGCAGTTTGTTTCTTACCACGAAAGTCATCTGGAAGAAGTACTAAGTTACTGAGGATGAGTATACAAATCACCTGTAATACTAGACTGTACTGCCCCAACTACGACAGTGGTTCAAAATCCTTCTGACCTTTTTCGGTCTGTGATCCGAACGAGCGCTCGTTCTGCAACATGGTCTGCCGCAGCTCCAGCAGCTCGGCGTGCTCCTTGGTGTACATCCTCTTCAGGTTCTCCACGTGCTGGATCATCATCTCCACAGCTTTGCCGATACGATTTTCCTGGCATTCAACGAGACAAAAACTATATTTAATCCTCAGAGTCCAAAATCAAATGGAAAATTAAAAAAAAAAGAAAAAAAGGGGTTTAATTTCTAGCACTTACTACTATATATATTTATAGATACATTTTCATATAAGCACAGAATAGAAACATAAATATATATTTATATAAATATATTCACATTTATATATACAAATATATATATATTTATATAAATATATTTGTACATATATTCAAATATATATTTACTTTTTTATAACATCCGTTGAAGTGCAGCTCATATACAGTGCAGCTTATATTTGCATTAAATGTATTTTCTCTCTCTCTAACACTCACCTGGTGAATGGCTCCGAGCATCTCAGATCGGCTGGACACCCTGGTCATGGACTGGATCAGTATGTCCAGGTTCTTCTGGAGTCTCTGAATGATCTCCATAGACTGAGTGTCGTCTTCACACAGGGGAATCAAGGCCTGATAAAAATGTAAAACTATGAAAAAAGGCTCAAATATATATATAAATATATACACATATATACGTACATTCATATATACATAAATATATGTGTGCATATATCCACCTGCAGCAAACCTTGGCAGCTGGACACTTCCCTGCGGACGTTCTCCTCGGCCAGGTCACGTGACCTCTCCTCCAGCCGAAGCCTCTTCTCCAGTGTAAACATGTCACACTTGAAACCCAGCGCCAGGCGCTGAAACTCAGCCTGAAAACATGAGAACAATGTCGTCGTCTTGTGCGAGAGTCAACTGCTGAACAAACAGTGTGTGTGTGTGTGAATTCAGTTGGATTAGAGAGCAGAACGAAGATGTTTGGTTTTCTTTTTTTTTGTTCTCGTTTCACCTTGAGCTACAAATATAATCTATATGGCATTAATTGACAGGCTGGTTAAAATCACCAACACTGAAGTTAACTCAACACCTTCTGTGATTCTCCAATAACAAAGAACTCCAATCTGAGAATATCATCATCTTATACTTGAGGAGAGTGAGCTGGAATGAAGTCTGTACCTCGATCTCCTTGTCGGTGGGCGTCAGGCTGCAGGAAACGAGAGAGAAGACGGTTATGATTCAGTGAAACATCTCCGTCAACTTCCTGATGGATATTTTCATGGACGGCCACAGTAGGTTGGGCTGCGGTGAACGTTTAAGGTCTCACCTGTTTGAGTCCTCTTTGAAGACGTCGCTGGAGTCGGACATCATGGACGTATCGGCTGGAGATAAAGGAAAAAAAAAACAAAGAGACAGTCGCTGTGGAAACTATTTCAATTATATTGTGGTAATAAAGTGTAAAAAAATAAGATGACATGGATACAGTGCTACATACAGTGCCTCCTATTGGTCGTGCGTGCAGTGTGGTCCTCCTGAATCTTGCGATCCTCGGCCACCTCCATGCCGCCAGTCAGATCCTGCAGAGTTTGGACAAACATGGCTGACACTCGATTTTCCAGGTCAAGTCCAAATCTGACTTTTTTTTTTTTTCCCTCATTCGTTCTACAGCACAGGTGTCAAACTCAGGTCCGCGGGCCAAATCTGGCCCATGGTGTTATTATATTTGGCCTGCGAGATAATATCAACTGTGTATTAGAGCTGGGCCACCATGATAGAGCCACTATGAACTGGTGGGATTTGTAGTGTTAGCGATGTATACGTCTTCCATCTCTGCTGTTAGCGTTGTTAAAGTAAGAACAGAGACATGGAGCTAAAACAATATCTTAGCTTCGTCGCACAGACACACAGACACACATACAGCAGGATGAACCACATTTTTCTCCAGGTCTTGGTGTCATGTTGACTAAGGGCAGCATCATTTACAGACAAAGAAAGAAGTCTAATCCAGAGGACGCCATTCATCATCATGAACCTGAAGTTTGTCAAACTCAGTTTTTCCTTGAAGGACATTCCGATCTAATCAAAATCAAAATCTCTTCCTCATGGATTCCCATTTTCCTCCTCTCTCTATTTTGTTGAACATAATCCAAGATAACAATAGTTTTAACTCTTAATTTAGCATCGGTTCAATTAGCAACAAATCAGTGTTGTTCATTTTCAACACATCTTTATCTGCTGCTCAGACATTAGCTTCACATGCTAAACACTAGCTAGAACTGCTAAACATTTGAAGAATTGTTGTGGACCTCAAATAAAATGAAAAAAAAAAAAAGTGTATTTTGGAATCCAGTCTCCGGCCGCATTGGATGGTTTGGTGTGCCAGACTTGGCCCCCAGGCCACCAGTTGACAATCACTCATTTATATGTGTTATAGTGTTTTAAAAAATATATTTTTTTTAAAATGGGTTACTTATGAATGAATCACACTAATTACGTGTGATTCATTCTTTTGTCAGCTCTAATCCAACTTTAGACCCCAATAAATAAAAAATTAAAAATTAAACATCACATTTTCAATTCACTTTGTAATAATGACAAAACCAGCCGTGTCCGTGACCTCCCTGAATATATTAGTTCAACCCTGGCATGAGAACAACAGGAGACCTGGGGTTAATTTACAAAACCAGCTGTAAATTATTCAATATTAAAATCTCTTCTACAAATAAAGACACACCGGGACGGATGTGGCAGGCGTTCGGCAGGTCTTACCAGTTCTTTCTTATTTTTTCCACCCTCCCTTTTGGTCGACTGGCTGGGGTCAGAGGTCACGCCGGCTCTTCCGCTCTCCAACCGGCTGCTGATTGTCAAGAGCGGTCCTGACGAAGGAGCGCTGCCGCCGGACACGTTGACGACGCCGAGCCGGTCTGATGCTGTGTGGAAGAGTGGGTGGGTGTGTGTGTGTAATAGAGTGAGTGAGTGTTGCACATAAATGTAAGAACACATGAACAAACAAGCGGTTGGGAAATCTCTCGTTTCCGTCTCCAGCTCCCTCATGCACACATATGTAGATTTTTTTTTTTTTTTTTACCTGCCATGTTGGCCTCTCCTGCCGGGACTTTGGCTGAACTTTCCTGCACACTCTCCTCCTCTTCAACCAACACAGGCAACAAGCTGACGCTGGGGAAAACACAGCCAGAGAAGATTAACCGTAGCATTTGCAAAAGGCACGGCCTTTTTTTTTTTAAAGAAGTGACTTCAAATGTCCAACTGTCCCAACGTTGACAGAAACACACGTGATCTTCAGGACGGAGTCACGTAACATTCACCCAGTCATCATCTCCCAGTGCTTCACTCACCTGTCCTCCACCGCCGCCGCTGCTCTGTCTGCCAGCTGGTCCTGTTTCAGGCTCTGAGATGGACAAAAGTAAAGGCAGCAGGAGGAGGGAGGCAGCGAGGGAGGGAGGGTGGGAGGGAGGGAGGGAGAGGGGAGAGAAAAAAAGCAGGTGGCCTTCTTTTAGCACTTTTTTCTGCACCACATTACAAGAATTGGTCAATCATTAAATGGCACATATACATGTTCACATGCATTAATGGTACCTCAGCTGTGGAGGAGAACCCACACACACACACACTGGTGTGTTTTACATAATATGAAGCTTCTGTGTGTGTGTGTGTGTGTGTGTGTGTGTGTGTGTGTGTGTGTGTGTGGGTGTGTGTTGGTAGGACTGGAGAACATGTTAACGTTGGCACAGCACTTTGCAGTGGAGGCAGGTTTTCTATATTCACTGTGTTGTCTTTTAAACACACACACACACACAGTCTGGTTTTCATGACTTCTGAGGCCCAAACTTTTAACATGACTGAACGCATGACAAAACTATAACCTTAATAAAACTGTAACCTGGTCTGAATTTAATCCAAACTAAATCTAAAAGACCTCAAAATGTCAGAATCTGAAGAATGAAAAATGTTACCAAGACACTGTCCCCACAAGGATAGCTATGCCAACACCACACACACACACACACACAGAAGGCGTGTACTGTCATAGGATGTTGTGTAATATGGTAATATTGTGCATACACTGGGGTTCAAACAGGAAAAGCAGTTTGATAAAAAAACCACATTAAAACAAAAAAGAACAAAAAGAGAGAGACTTCAGTGTCCTTCACTCGTACAGTACATCATAGTGTAGTTGTACTGCAGTACTTTATGCAGTATGGATATTTTGTTTGTTCATGGCAGGACACGTCCCAACTCTGAACCTGAGGTCAAACTGTGTCAACAGAACCTAAGGAGCAGATTCAAATGCAGGACAAATACACTGACAAATCTTTACAAAAAAAAAAAAAACAAACACTTGAAGGTCAGATTTACAAAAAAAAAAAAAAAAATCTGCACTGACTGCACAGCTTACGTCACATTTGAGAGTTTCTGTTTCTGAAACAATAGCCAACCCAAACGTGTGGCTTTTTTTTGACACGGTGTGACGTCCCACATGAGAGCAGCAGCGGTAACTTTGTACAAACCACACACGGAACTCTTCTTTAATGAACTGACGTAGACTTCAGTGTCAAAACAAAACTCTCAGCAATTAAAATAACATTTCAATTTAATATTTTATGGGCTGGAAAACTGCATAATGAAGGGGGAAAAAAAAAGCGAATAAATATCAACAAATTAAACTGAAGTCATCTTTTCCAGTTTCATGCCAACGGCTAAATATTTGGTCGCTACATCAGTTTGCTGCTGTTATTGCCTCATTTGTTCAGGGAGGCCAACTACCTTAGTTCTGAGGTCCTGCATCAAAGAGACAACACAGCTCTGACAGAGTACAATCACACAGTCGACCGACACCCGCAGACACTCACCGATATATAAATAGAGCCGCAGAGAAAGGGGCCAAAAAAAAAAAAAAAAAAAGAGGAAACAGCAGGTTTTTCTGCAGCTACAAAGAAAAGAGGAAGCTCGACTTCCCCCTCCATCACTAACCTTGATGGAGTTCATGTCTCCCGTCTTCACGTCCACGTCGCTTTTTTTCTCTTCTTCTCCCGTCAGCTCCTGGCTGAGCAGCTTGGCGCTAGGCAAGAGGTGAAGAGGTTAAAGGTCAGAAAGCATCCACGGTTTTCATAATTAAAAACCTGAAACACCGACGTCCCGAACTCAACGTATCAAAGTATCACTGACTGATGTGGAGAGAGAGAGAGAGGGATGAGGAACTTTTCTAGGCAGACTGTGTCTATGCAAAGCAGTGGAGACAGTCCTGTGTACACTCCTCCCTCATCGGCGCTGCATTTGAATGGCAAATGATACCAAGCCCAGGGTGAACTGCAGTACAAGTACACACAAGTACACAACCGACGTCAATTACAACGACTTTGATAGTATTGAGATGGGAACCCTCCCGGAGGGTATTTATTTTTTTCCTTACTGACTACTGCAGCATTTTGAGCGAGACGGTGACGTGTCGACAGTTACGACCGAGGAAAGCGTCCGATTCCTCGCTGTCCAAACTCGCAAATTTACAACAAATATCCCGATGTGTGGGATTGTTGACATCTTCACGTGTAAGAGGCTGCAGAAAGGTCTGTGGATTTGGGTTTTTTTTTATGTTGAAAAATCATTATAGATAAAACTGTTGTTGTGTTGTGTTGTTGTGTGTGTTGTGTTGAATACATCTTTGAAGAGCTTCAACATTAATAATAATTATTACAATAATATAAATGAGTTAACATTTAAATTTACATCCATATTGTATTTGCATATAAGAAGTACAGTGTACATAAATGAAAAACGTGATGTGTGTAATGGGTGTGTCATGTGCAGGGAGAACATGTATATGTAAAGTAAATACAAAAAATTGACCTTCAACATCATGTAAAACATACTCTGTCAAAACATGACATTCACGTAACAGACGTTTCTGCTCACGTCTATATCTATATATCAGTATATAGACAGTAGTTAGAATCTTATCTATGACCTCCAGACACTGGAAGTGGGAACCAGGTAGAACTGAACTCTCACTTCCTTTCTGTACCCAGTGCAATTACGTAAGTAGGTGCAATAACAACTACCCTGTGTATAATATACATCACCAACTCTGTTTGTCCAACATTATTATTTAATTGTTTGTATTTTGTATTTGGTTAAAACTGAGGGGACTACAAAATATTTTCTCTCAATTGTGGAATCAGTCGGGGGGTGATTGGACTGTTGGGTGGACTGGATTTGGCCCACGGGTCGCCAGTTGATGATCACCAATGTATACTTAAAAAAGGCTAATACATATCGTAGCTTTTAGACATTAATCTGCCGATGTCTTCACTTCAAGATGAAGAGGAGTGTCAATTTTTTTTTCCTTTTTAAATTCAAATGTCCAGTTACCTTTCGTCACATGGTGTGTCTTCACCTGGTCCAGTTGATGGACCGTGAAGAGAGACCATGGTCGGTGGTTTGGTCGGACTGTTCCCAGTTGTCGCCGCGTGTTCTCGCTCCTGCGTGTCGCTCAAGTTGTTGGCAAAACAGTCGGAGGCAGAATCTGGTAAGAGTTAGAGGGAAACGGACTGAAAAGTTCTATTTAAATTAAACTTGAATGATTTTTCATCATTAGACGGCATCGTCCGCTAACTCAACAATGCTAATCTGCTCCACCAGATTAACCCTTTTTTTTTATAAATGTTTTGTGAATATAATCCTGCAAAACGACTGACTGTCAAAAAGCTCAGCTGTGAATTAGCCGACAGTGAGAACAAAGAGATGCAGAATTATAGAAAGCCGTGTTCCTGCAGTGGAGGGTGAGTAAGAGAGTGAGAGGGAGGCGGAGGCCTTACTGTTCTCTGAGTGGGATGGATCGCAGAGAGCATCAGCCTCTGGGTGTCGAACGCTGACAGCTTGTGAGTGGGTGCTCGACGGCACCACAGTGTTTTCCTGTAAAACACAGAGAAGCTACATGAAAACTTTGGGTTTTTTTTAAATGGAAAAGGATAAAAGGGTCAAATCAGCCATGTTTTAATATTAGAAAAATAGAAAATATATTTTATATAATAATAAAGAGTTAACTTTACAGGATTAGAAAAAGAAGCGTCAGTGTGATGATGAAAAATGAAACTGCACATTCATAGAAAATGAAAAATGAGTCAGAAAGAAGGCGGAGCTTTGAAGAAGAAAACACACAAGTAATCCGAAGAAAGCCCGGTGGACCGTATCTGGCCCTCGAGCCATAGTTTGCCCAGGTCTGGTCTAGAGCTGTACTTCCTGATTACTGGTTTATTTTCTAATGGTTAAAATGCTTAAAAATTGTCCAAAAAAACCCCAATAAAAAAACAAATGAAAACAAACAAAAAAAACCAACACACTCCTTTGACAAATTACATTTCTTTTGTTGAAAGTTGAGGCAATGAAGTGGCTACAGAACCTCGAGGGACAGGAAGTGATAGTGTTGTGGGTATGATGTTAAAAAAATAAAAATGTGGCTAAGATGGAGATAAGGAAGAAACCACAGACACTGCACGTTTGTCTGCGGGCGATCGCTTTTTGATAATTGAAACTGAAGCCTCTGAAAGTCAACATTAACAGGAAGGATTTGGATCAATGGCACCACATCTGTCCGCGCCTCGGAAGAGAACCCGACCCCAACACGCTCTCCCCCAGTTCCCCAAAACCAACAGATAACGAAGTGTCCACTAAACTGGTTTGTTTTTAAAGAATTTTTTTTTAAAATATTACAATTTGACTTTCTTACCATGACTTGACAGAACACACGGACAGAGTAGTTCCTGATTGGTCAAAGATCTCGGGGCCAAACTGAACTGATATATTTTTTGCGATTCATTATGACAAGGAAGGTAAGCTGAGCATCACATCTGCTCGAACACTGTCCTGCTTCCTGTTGACGGTTGTTCACACCTTCCAGCTGCTGAGCACATCCTGTTGGCCACCGTTACCAACAGCGAATGTCTGACGAGTAAAACTTGAAGACGTGTTTTTCTACACTTTTTTTTTTGACAAAAACTGTCAACTGGCCACAAATAACGCAATGTAGGTCAGTAAATTATTTTAAAATGTGGTTCAATGAGACTAAAATGTTTTTAAAAAAAAGTCTGAAAATGTGGTTCAATGAGACTAAAATGTTAAAAAAAAAAAAGTCTGCCTATATTAGGAAATTAAAATGGCGCCTGCTCTAATGAAATGCTAACGACAAATTATTATTAAACAGTGAATGTTTAAAGAAGAAACATCATTAACACGTTCTTCACACAGCTGTCTAACAGGTTATTATATTAAAATAGAATACAAAAAAAAACTAAATACTTAAAAACTAATATGACCTCACAAAGACCACGTGGCTCCACAGTTTTTTACCTGCAATAGTTGAGATTTGGCCTGAAGCTGTGGCTGGAGGAAGACTGCAGAGTCTGTGGAAAAAAGAAAGAAAAAGAAGAATAAAGAAACTAAAAGAGCACATCTATGTCATCTAGATCTGCAGAAGAATTTGTATGCTTAAATATGACAAGGTCAGACATATGAGGTTGTCCACAGAAGCCATAACAAGGTCAGACATATGAGGTTGTCCACACAGAAGCCATCATTTCTTCATCATCATCATCCACACTGATGAGTCTGTTCTTAAACCTGGCCATAGAAGGATTTCACATACGGTGTGACATGAACTCAGTCCATAGAAGTCTGGAGTCCAAAAACCATAGAAGGCCGGGGTCAACTTCAAAAGGTCCTCTGGTGTCTTATGGATGGCTAGTGCCCTGTGACAACTTTTTTTTGGGGGGAGTTGGGGATTGGTGGGGGGTGGGTGAGACTTCTCCGAGTCATAAACCAACACTAAGACAATCTCCAGAACGTTCCATTTAGTGTGAAATCATCGTCACACCGATTAATTCATCATAAAAAAATAAAACTTTGTTCGTACTGAGTTGCGTCCACTGCCACCATCACGACGCTTGGACTCGTTACCTGCTCCAGGCTGTGTGTCCATGCAGACGACAGACATAGGAGTGGACGTGTCTCTGTCTCGTCCCCCACCGTCCCTGCTCTCAGGTCGTCTACATTTGTCCAAGTCGTTGCTCAGGAAGTCTTGGAGGAGAAGCTCCCCCTCGTCCTCCCATACCAAGTCTTCTTCAGCGGGCTGGAAAAAAAAAAACAGGAACAGAGGAAAGGAAAGAATTAGGAGGTTCATGAGCGGGAAAAACATGCAGACAATCAACTGTTTCAGAAACGACT